TGCGCAAACGCCGGGAAACAGTGGTTCAGTTGGGGTAATTTTTAATGCCCCCCCCCCCCCCCCCCCCCAAAGGATTCGACAGCCCAATTCCGCAATCGCTCTGCTTCTAATCCGGCAGATGGACTTGGTCGCACAAGACGTGGCGGTGAATCCATCCCTCAGATCTGCAGTATGGAGTCCAAAAGCTCCGCATCGCAGCATCAGCATCCTGGGCGTCCATCCGGCAGCCAAAACGCTCTGGCCATCAATCCTTGATCTGATCCCTCCAATCTTTGTTTTCACCGTCATATCAAGTCGGCATTACCTAAAAAAGTGTCCGACGGAGGTAGAGCGAAAAGATAAGCTCCCTGCTTCGGGACAGCTCTTCCCACAAATCATACGGAGTACTGTGCTCTATTACGGTAAACGGTCGGCATGCCAAGAAGATGACCATTGATCACACCCTCCGCACCTCAACTAGGTAAAAAAGGCGCATCGCGATGGTGACTGGAAATTGGAAATAGTGTGGCGCAGCCTTGTTCAAGACGGCCCTGGCCCTGGCATCTGGTTGAAATCAAACGGCTCAAGCCCGGGTCCCATGATGGGAAGCTGGGCACTCAAGAACTCGTCGGTAATAAGAGTGCCGATGTCGTCTCCCAAGCTCTCCAGGAAATTGTCGTTGTTCACTTGCAGTCCGTTCATCAGATCTGGCACATTGAGAGGATCCTCGGGTGGCATCGCCGTCTGCGTCTGCTGCGCCTGGAGGAGCACGTCCCGAATCTCTCGCACGCAAGGCCAGGTATTCTGTATTTCGTCCATGGCCTGCATGATGAGTGACAGCGCACGTTCAATGTCTGGATCACTCCACGATGCCTTTTGGAGGAAGCGTTTCATCATGACCGTGCTTGCGGCCGTAGAGAGCGTGTGCACAAAATCGAGTGGTAGTGACCGGTAGCGGTAGTAGCGAGAGTAGCTTCGCATTAGACGTAGAATCGCCTGCAGAGATTCGTAGCAAATTTCCACATCTTCGCCTTCGGCAATCCCTGGGTTCTCAAACATGTGCGATGGCGGCCGGTGGAGGATGATCATGATGGTGTGAAACATCATGCTGATAACGTTTGAGATTAGCCGTTGTGAACGTGGTGATGATGGGGTGAGGAATCTCTATCCAGTGAATTAACTTACTGAAGATGTAAAACATATGGAGGCACCTGGCCAACCGTCCACTGATTCCAGTGCAGGAAACTGGGGATGCCCGCGAGCCATTTTGTCAACAGTACATGGATCCTTCGCGTCTTAGTTGCAATAATGGTAGGATCCGCGCCTCCTCTCCGGTTCTCGAACAAATCCGTGATGATGAGGTGAATGATCTTGGCCAATTCAGCTCTGTAGATGAACGAGCCCACGAGCGCCACGCCATTGTCCCATTCGTTTGCCGATGCCCCTTTGCAAATATACGTCTCAAGAAGGCCTTGCCAACCCGGGGGATATTGGAGCCGGATGGTATTTCGCACGTCCGACTCGCCCGGGTACAGCGCCGGAGGTCTCCCGAAATAGAGGCTGAGCTGCTTATCAGCTGTAAAGACTGCCCAGTAGACTCTGCGCTGGATTTCCCTATCACCGCTCGTCTCGGAAGTAGATCCATCCCAGTTGGTGGGATCGAGATGAAGCCCCATTTCGTGCGCGAGGCGAAAGGCCATGCCGCAGAACAGCCAGCCTTTGGACGCCCGTCCCACAGCAATCTCATGGTATCCAAGTAGAACCAGAGCTTGGAGAGTGGTAAGGTCGGGGCTATCAAGGGTAGGATAAAGAAGCGTCTGGGCTTGGCCCGAAAAGATGTCGGAAACGTTGAGCATGTCGTCGTATTGAAGCGCTCCCAGAGCACAGACGGCATAGAGCAAGACGTCTGAATAGTATTTCCCTGACCCGATATCATAGTCTCTCAGGAAGTACTCGCGATACAGAACCATGTTGTACGGGTAGACCTCTTGGAAAAACCTCGACATCATCTTTTGCGAAATCTCATGGTGAGGCTCATACTGGAAAGACGCACTCATGGGGCTGAAGTCGTCCAAGTCCCCATACAGGTCCCCCAGGTCCAGCTTGTTGTTATTGTTGTTAGCATTCATATTGAGGCTGCTATTATAAGACTGGCCATCTGTTGAAATGGCCAAAGACTCCATGCCCATGGAATTTGTCGGACCTGGAGACGAAGACGTCTGAGAAAAGTGTATCTGGAGTAAGCTTGTCCCTCCAAAGAACTGCGCTGCATTGCCTCCTCTCAGTCGCCTAAGCTGGCCGGACTTGACTCGAGCAGCAGCAACGCTCGGATCCGTCTTGATGTCGACCTGCCCGCCTTCCGCCAAAGCCGCATCAGGAGCCGGCGAAGTCAGCGACATCTCCGAGATGATCTGAGTGCGCTCCGCATCGTCTGCCAGAGCAAGCTTGTGAATGACTCGCTCCAGCGCGGCTATCTGGCCCTCCAGAGCCTGGACATAGCTCTTTGAAACCGGCCTGCTCGGTGTTGTCATTAGCAGACAGAGACAGCTCCCAGCGAAACCTCGCGCCTTACCGCTGCTTTTCTCCGATGCCTTGGAGGACACATTCAGTGCCCGCCTTGGCACATTTGGAGCACGGGCGCTTCCGATCGCATTTGATCTATAGATGCAGGAGAAATCAACAACGTCAGTTTCCACACGAGCCATACAAACAATTCCAGAGAAGAAGCCCATGGCGAACCTTGCGACGACGGCATCTTTCACAGCTAAAGGCGTGGTTTCATGAGTAAGAAGCCAGTCGGTGTCATCAGGTGAGAGGACTTACGACGTCCTGACGGAGTCTCCCAAGAGAGGCTCCTCCATTGCTGCATGTACACTGAGCCACCTCAAAAGTGCGGAGGAATGTAAAGAGTCGGGTTGAGCGCTGTTCAGGTCAATTGGATTGGCTGTGGTGGCGTGGATTGGAAGCTGGAGCAGAAAATCCCGGCATGGTGAACTGCGGAGTTGAGGCTTCAGCAGCTAATGTTGCAGTCATGAAGGCAGATCGGAGGCTGACCGGCATCACTTCCAGTTGGTTCGGCGGCCGCTCCGGCGCTACATCGCCTAAAAACCGGGGATATTGCCCAACTTGGACGATTCACACCTACGGAATACTGCGTACCTTAGTATTACATTCCAACCAAGACGACAAGAAAGATTCATCATCAATTTCATACATAAAGATGTATGTATGTTCTTCTCAAATGGCTGTGAGTTCACGATATTGACAGTGAATTCATCCCGCCGGATACCGCTGCTCTGCCTTCCAAGGATACATCCATCCTCCTCTCTGTGACCCAGCAAGCCAACTAACAGCATCAGCATTTCCCTTTTCAACATGAAAACAATAGAAAAGCCAGCTCAATCAAGATGCAGACATCAATCATAAGCATCTCACCGAAAACACTTCACCTCGCCAGATCTTCATCTCGCGCATCCAACACCAGCATATGCCCCGGCGCATGCGCCATCACCACTCCCTCCAACCCAGCCCTCATCACCGCCTCCTGAGGCGTCACTCCGCATCCCCAAAACACCGGAATCTCCTCCTCCCCATCGTCTTCACCTCCAGATCTTCTCTGCCCCTTCATCTCCCCAAATGCCTTCCCTCCCTCCGCATCCATCGGCGCATCCCCCCATTCCGGCCCATCAATATCCCTAATCCCAAGCCTCTCCACCGCCTCCCACCCCCAATCCAACGGCTCCCCATGCGTAGCCCCGAACCTCCTCGTGATCTCCCTCACCCTCTCGACATCCCGCCTCTTATACGGCCTCATCGACACCACATACGTCCCGCCCTGAAACACCCCCGAAGGACACAGCCGCAACGTCGTCCTGTACATGGGCACATTTCTCCCCAGCAAGAGCTGTCTCGGCGGGAGTCCTACCGCCGCCAGTGCCGTTTCAAAGGAATACGAGCACCCGATTAGAAAGGCGACGTGGTCGTCCGTCCATTCCGCCACGACATCATTGCAATGGCTCTTTTCCAGCTTCGAGTCCTTGTATACCATGTAATGGGGAGCGTCTCGCCTTATATCACACCCTTCTCCGAGGATCTCGTCGCCACGGAGCTTGTCAAGATGGGAAATAACCGCATTGTCACACCCCTTGGTTGCTGACTCGGCAATCAGAGGACACGGGACCGGATTCCGAGCGCAAAGGTTGCGGAAGTCATTCGCATATCGCGACGGTAGGATGATGAGATTGGCCTGTAAATATCCAGGTGCAAGACCTGAAGTTCCTGCCTTGTGCGACTTGTTATTTCGTGAATTTAGTCGGGCCTGATGCCCGGTTACGATGGAAGTGTTCATGGTTGTGGATTTTGTGCTGATATGATATCATCAAAGGCCTGCAACATCAGAAGCAAAGAAGCTGCACAGGGTCTATATATCCATTTACAACAACTACAACACTCGTCGTGTATACTACTCAAATGTTCGTAGCTATTTGACCCCAAGATACTAGCTCTCTGCCTTAGCAGGCAGATCTCATACTTAGCTTATACCCACTTGACTCGCGATGGGGACGGAGTTGCGCCTCCGTCTCAACCACGATACGGAAAATCGCCAATTCTAAACTAAGAAGAGGCCAATACCAAACACCACCATGAATAGGCATGTAATCAGATAGTGGGAGCAACAGGCCTCGGGGATGAACAGCGATCAAGCTAGATGAACGGATGCATCATTGGCTCAGACATCTCAGGCATACTTGGTTTAGTTATTCTGCAAACTAGCGTATATTCCCACAAACCCTCTCATTAACGCCACATGACTTCTCTTCTCGTGGGTGCATCAATAGTCCCCCGTTGAACCACTCATAATATGCTACTGGCTGTCATGTTCAAAACACAACGACTGCCGTTGTGAGACGCCTCCTCCAGAACTCAAGTCAAGTCACACACCAATCAAGATTCCGTTAATCAGGTGTCCGTCCACCTTCACCTTGGGAGACCGTTCCCAGGTCCTCTTCACATACAAACGGACAGCCTTTTTGACATCTCGTGCCCACTGCTTGACACGCCGCCTCACTTTCTCTTCTTCAACAGGAAGTGGTTGATTCGTTGTGCCTATTTCCGCCCCATGAGAGCCATCTGTATCCTTGCTGGCGGCTGCGGGTGGAATAGAAGTCGACTTTTTATCCGTGTAAGGCACAAAAAATGTCTCCTCTGGTGCGGTGGCATAACTTTGTGGGCTGGCGAATCGCAACCGAAGTACCGAAAGCTTGCCTCGTAGCCCACGAGGCCTGCCTGCACGGCTGCTGCATATCTCAACTTCTTCTTCCTCATTTGCTGATGTAGCAGGATGACTTGAACGTGCTGCCCCCCTAGCCGGTGATGGCGGATAAGGGATATTGAACTGATCAGACAGCTGTGGTGATGGCTCTAAACGGATAGACTGTTCTTCCATTGCTGCCATGTCCCTTTCTGTTGAACCAATGCTCGACGCTTGTGTTTTGCCGCCCATGTCAATCCGAATATGTTCATCTGTTGCACTCTTTTTAAGACAGGGTGCCAGCTCTGCGAGCGAGTTGCATTGCTTCAACCGATTGTTGTATGGAGAAAGCCCGCTGTTGCCAGGTTGAGCTTGACTACGCGGTATTTTGAGTTTCAGCTTTGGTCGCACTGCTGGGCCATACTCGTGATCGTGGCTGCCGGCATAAGTTCGCCTTACAGTTGTAACTGAGCATAACACATTACCACCCTTTCCGGGAGATGACGACGGTGCTCGAGCCCTGAGTTTTAACTTGGGGTGAAAGTCTTGCGAAAGCCGTGAAATTGCGGGCGAAGATGAAGTTTGCCTTGTTTCCAAGGGCCGCTTCATTGCTGCAGTACACTCTTTGTCCAGCATCAAGCCGGCATGCCCCGAGTAACCATTTAACGCTGGGGTGCCTGCAGTACCGTAGCCTGAAAGCTTCTCAGCTTCTCTTGGGAGCGGTGGTAGGGCTTTCATCAGCTGAGGTATGCTTTCCTTGACTCTTAGTTCACGTACGGGCGAAATGGGTTCTGGGCAGAGGATTCCCAAGTTGTTGTGACGCTCCGGTGTATGCATTACAATTCCGTCTGGGACAATACCAGTTATGCTTATCCGCATAGCCGCAACATTCCTGCGGTGGCATTTTAGGTATACGCCATCTTCTTCATCAGCCGGGCCGGGTGTTGTCGGTGACGGCCGCCGACTCGAACGTTTCAGGGTAGCCGCGTGCACATCATCCTGCTGGTATACAGAGGTGTCATGGCATCCTCCATTCACAGACTGCATATCGCTGTCTTTTGAGACCTGAATCCTTCCCAAGCGGTCAAAGGATGACAAAACTGAAGCAAATTCCGACAACGCAGGATCCAAGGAATATCTCAGCTTTGGAAGACCAACCCGAGATGACCTTTGACTCCAAGATTCACTCGCCACATTAAAGTTGGTTTCTAGTATCTTTGAAGGGGTCTGCAAAGGAGCTGGTGATCCCAAAGAAGTCGAATCGCTCGTCATTGAAAGTATATCAGTTGCATCTGCATCTGCATCCGGTGACACTTGATTTGAGAGAATCAGTGGCTGGCTCTGTCCTTCATCGGATAGAGTTATCAAAGGGGTCCCTTTTGGACTTGGCTCAGAAAGAGATGGCCTTTCCATGGCACCATCTTCCTCTTTAGAAGTTGGCTGCTGAGCTTGATTATCTTCTGAGTTGCCATCTGCAGCATCTGACAACCGGGAAGGCTCTATTGAAGCCTTTCCGACTTCTTGCACATTGGATTTTATCGAGTCCGGGTAGTTGCCGCTTACTTCAAAACTTCCCTGGATATTGTCCAGTAGCAACAGAGAGTGGCGAATGTTTTCAACCCTCTGCGGTATGGGGTGTAGCGGCACGTCCAAATCCATGTCCCAAGGCGGTTGGTCCTCGAATTGCTCACTGTAGTCGTAGTAGAAAGAGCCGGGCGATTGGACGGGCGGCGGCACACAATTCGAGTTTGAGGTCACTGGCCTATCATACATTTCAACAATGGAAGTTAGACTTGCCGAGCGAGTACTTTGGTCAATGGAACCTCGTTGGTGCCGGTTGGCTTGCCTGGGCAACCCCCACGGCAGGGAGGGGTTGGGACCTCTGGCATGGCAAGGCACTGGTGCGTAGAGATAAGGCGAGTGTAGCGTTCTCGATGGCAATGAAGACGCTGACCTATTTACATCGGGACGAAAGGCCATTGGAAGGGGCCGTCGAGGGCCATGGGCATAAGTAGGCTTGTATGACCCATGAATAGTTCTCTATGCTAAAGTTAGCAATGAGATGACCTCGGCAAAGGTTTGAACTCGAACACATACTTGGGAAAACCGATCAAGCTCAACCATTCTACTGTAGTCGATATCCCCATTCTCCCTGAGAGCTGGAGAGGCTGGTCGAACCCCTGGGCGCTTCAGTCGGGTTGGGTATGGAAAAGGAGATCTCGGGCGTTGGAAACCACCTCCGCTTGACTGGCTTTGTAATGTGCCAGTGGACTTTTGAGACGGAATCCGCTTTGAGCTGGTTGTAGTCATGGAGTATGATCTGGGGTCATCGTCGATGCTCGTTGGGGAGACCGAAGACAATAGTGTTTTCTGACTTTCAGATCCATAGAGAGAAATGATTTCAGACGTGGTGTCGCGATAGGAACGCAGCCTCTTAGGGCTATCTGGACGGCAGTAATAGCCATCATCATACCCCAACGAGCGTGCAGGCAGCGGTAGATGTGCCTCTCTGGGATGCGATCTGGACCTTTTGGGACGAGCAAAAGGGGCCGAGGAAGAGTTTGGCCCGATGGAAAAGATTCCGATATCACCGGTTTCGGTTGTGGTCTTGAGCATGCTCTCCAGGGGATCAGGGGAGCGTAGAAGAGCGACATTTTCGTTGACACTGCGGAGCGGGTGTCTCTGAGCTGGTGGACGCGGATTGGTGTAGTTGATCATTCTGGTCTGATATCGATACTGGCTGCGCAGCGAGCTATGACTGGCAGATCTTTGGCGTAGTCGAGAAGCATCCATGGAAACGCATCAACTCACGGACAAGTGGAATATCATATAGAGTAAAATACCGCGGAGAAAGATCAGGGACCAGAACAAGAAAAGGGAAAACCAAAGACGGCGGATCGACACCCGGGAATCAAAACGTCCAGAACTCGAGGACCATAAACCAACTCCAAGAAAACGCGGACGGCCGGCAGCTTGGCACAGACATAATTGTGAAAGATGAAGCGGGAAGAAGGAAGAGGAACAGGAGGGCATAGGCCTCGAGATTTTAGCGAGCAAGTCATGATGAAGAATGGAAGGTTCATCTGTGGATGGAAGTGTTAAGCGATTCTGGGTGAGAACAGAAGGAGAAGAAGAGGAAGCTGCGATGAGTATGGATATCGGCGACTGAACTGCCTGTTGGTGTATCGATAACATCACATGCATGTACTTGGTTAGAGGTGGAAAATTGCCTGGGGATTTTGTATTCAGATTCACACCTTATCGACATTGTATGCGATTATGAGTGATGAGACAGATGCTATTGAAGGTACATATATGGAGAGCATCAAGGACAAGGATGGCAGATTTTCGGATGATGTTTGCTCTTGTGCAGTTAGAGGGGGTGAGTTGCGACAAAGGAAAAGGCCACCCACATGTACCCAGCAGGTATCTTGGAGGTGCATTGGATGCAAGTTGGGATTCATCCGCCCGATTGACCCGTAAGAGCAGATTGACCTGTACCCAACTCACCTATTGATAGGTAGGTACCTTTGAAAATTGAAGGATTGTATTCCCAACCCGCAGGTGTGACCTCCATTAGCTCGCGCAACCTCCACAAAGAACCAACTCGGAATCAATGGTGCTGGCGTTGCCCCAGGAGAATGCCTCCAAGATCAGCGCTCGAGGTGTTGTAGAACAGGGCTTCCAAACCTTGCTCGTATCGTGCGACCCCCAAGCCACTTACCAGACATCAAATGCCACATTACAGGCCGGGTAAATCAGTAAGCTGATATTGAAAACATCCATCCATCCATGGACTTGGTCACCATCACCCGTGTCTCACACTTTGGCCCGTGTAAACTTTAATCATGCTAGCCCAACGGTGAAGATAGCTGGAGCAACCCTTATCCAAGCACGTGTAGCCATCCATCTCGACCAGCTGAAATAGACGGGCTTCAATCATATCGCTTTCACGACACCACCTGCACTACGGTACACTAGCCTGCCCGCAACCGCGGATCCAGGAACCATCCAGAGAGTGACGTCGGGGGGAGGCCATCTCGGCCAATTGCCAGGCTCGTCCTGCATTAATTTGAGACGTAGCTGAACTCTGTCTGCTGGAAATGACGGGGCCTCTTCGGCTGGCTTCCCCCCCAGTTTCACCTCACCTGGGCGTGCGTTTTAATCATACGTATGACAGGTGATTCTCTTGTGTCGTTTATGCGGGCACTTTGGCGAAATGATTTCCCATCGCGGACGGCTCACGTGGCCTCGCTGGCAAGGCTCCCCTCCCCGATCTTTTCAACGGTACAAGCAATACTTTCAGGCTAATGGACGGAAAATAGTGCTTGTCTTGCCGAGACAGCTGTTCTAGAATGTGATCGGAGATTACCTGGAAACGGTAGCACAAGTACCGATGCTTGTTTGCCATTGATGCTTCTTTGGTCCACAGTACCCTTTGATGGCTTTGAGTCGGCTACCTAGGATGGTCAATACTCGTACTCATCAACAGCAAAAACACATCAATGACGGCGCGAGATGATCAATCACTCGGATCAGCACTCAACTACCGCACTCGTACATGCTGCATGTATTTTAACTTTCCCTCGGCATCACAAGTCTCTCCAGCCGTAACATGCAGCGGCACACACACACACAAGCATCTTGGCCCGTCAAATGCCCTGCGCCAGAACAGCCCTGGAGCTTTTGCCGGCCGCTGCCGGGCCTGAACCCTAGCGCCCCCAAAAGCCCCTGATGAGGGGCCACAGCGCCCATCTCCGGATCTTGACTGGCTGGATCCCCGCAACTCTGCCAGGGCGACGTGCTCTAGTCAGGGGCATTGTGGACAGGCTTAGTGGGTTTAGTTGAAAGTGACATGCGGCAATCCTTTGTCTCCAGCGTATTCCCACCCGCTGCTTTGTGTCTGGTGCTTGTAATTCTCGGTTGGGGACCGTGGACGAGGGAGTCATGCATGTATTACTGTACGAGTACTGTTCCGAAGCAGGTACCTGCAGCGTGCAATTTTTTTTCTTTCTTTGTTCCATGTTGGTATTTATTTTTAAATCCATTTCGTTCGCCCTGCTGCTGTTTCCCTTTTTCTTCCGCTCTTCCGAAAGACACACAAAAAGAGAGTTTTGTTTTCATTTCGTCAACCGTTTGGTTCTTTACACTTTCATTAAAGACCACCGGCGGCACGTTTCTAGGGAGATTAGGTTCGTGAGAGAGCTCGTCGTCAATATTAAATCGATCAATGAGTCCTCTCTCTTCTTCCAGTGGCCGAAATCACACCTGCTGCAGCTCTCTTATATATTACCGTCTGCATCAATGACCTGATTTTTTATTATTATCTATTTATTTCCCGCATTGTTCAAACGTCTCATAACACTTCACACTCTTTTAACACGCACTCGTTTCACACACACGCTCCTTTGATACAAAAAAAGTCTTATACTTCATACATACCACCACGATATTACCATGGCTCTCCGCAAACCAGACTTCCACCTCCAGATGCCTACCATGAGCCACTCCAATCTCCAGTTCCAGCCGCGCAGCCCCATGCGAAGCCCTCGTTTCCGCGAGGACTTTGACGCCCCGTTCTCCGAATCTTTCCTGGATCCTCCACAGCCCCCAAAGACGTCCTACTTTGACGAGAGCAAGAACAAGATTGCGCCGCCGCCTCAACGGAGCTACGACGACAGCTGGGTGCCGCCCAAGCGACGATCAAGCGTCAACGACAAAGTTCTGCAGTGGGCCAAGAGATCCTTGACCATCAAACGACAGCGCCCGCCTCGCCTTGGGGAGGGCTTCAACGATGTACGAGCACCTTCGTCCAGGAGCTCCAGGAGAATCAGCAGCTTGCCGGTAGAGTCGGTCTTCGGCAAGCGCAACACTCACATCCAACCCCCAACCATCATCACCGTGTCCGAAATCCCCAAACCCGTGTAAAAGGGAAGAAGAATGAAGCACGAAGAATTTAAAATTCAAGCAGGAGAAAACATGGGCAACAAAATGTGTACAGCTTCGGGGAACGAATTAAAAACAAAACAACATTGGAAACACAAAGAAAAACATTGAAGTCGCAATCTTCACTGGCATTCACCACAGACAGGGATCTAAGGCAGTGGCGGCTGCATTTAAGCTTGCTGAAAAGCAATCTGTATGATAATGATTTATGAATTTATAAAAAAAAAAAAAAAAAGGGCAAATCAAAATACACCGCCACCAATGATGAACAACCGTTGCTCCTCTCTCTTGATCCATTGCATAATCTTATTGGCACCCTGCGCCATTGCTGCCCGTGATAGGTTCGGTCCGCCAATGCAATAGAGCTCAAAAGTTGGCGTGAGCCAAGCCAGCGATGTTGCGTCGTCGCTCACGCATTGCAAAATCTTAAGGTGCGAAATCTTTGCGTGGGTTGAGGCGTGCAGCTCGTGATACGCCGTCATGAGCCGTCTTCTCTTTACTAAATGTCCAAAGGTAGGTTCCAGTGCCGACATGCAAAACTGCACATTCGCTCGCGACTTAAACAAGAAATGGCATATTGGGCTTCCCGGCGCGATTTGTCCCATGGTAGGGCGGCCGGCGCGAGCGGCGTCTCTGATGATAGCGAGACTGCCATTCTTCGCCAGCTGTTGCGCAACGTCGTCTCGCATCTGTTTGAGGCTGAAAAAGGCTTCTCTGTCCGCGCTGATGAGGATCATGGCAATCTCCTCATCGACCGGCTGCCCCACCGCCGCGGCCGGTGCCGTCGCTTGCTCGCCCGACACCCCTTCAAAGAAGCTGACGTACATGTACAGGTAGCCTTTGTTGTTGAAGGCCGGGAGACACAACGGGATCCAATTTTCACCGCCTCCGGCCTTGATGCCCTCCGACTCGAACAGCATGTTGAAGATGAGCTGGAGGTCGCTAGGGTGGAGGGAATGGCGCCGTGGCCGAATAACGCTGACAAGCTTGCCCCCTGCTACGATGAGCCCGTAGAGCAGTTTGTCGGCTCTTGACTTTAGAAACGTATTGTTGATCGTGTGCCGCTGAGACTTTCGCAGTTTTAGACATTCTAGCGAGCTTAGCAATGCCGAAGGAGAACCTTTCGTGAAGCTGTCCGCTAGTGATGAAAGCAAAGCCTCGGTCCCTTGTAAAGGCTTGCGCAAATCGGTGGACGGTCGATTCGCGAATATGTTGGTTAGGGAAGGTAGGGTCAACGTTGACAAAATCTGCATGTATAAAGCTTCCAGTTGTACTCGTAGCTGCGAATCGCTCTCTCCCAGCTTGCTGATGGCCACAAAGTAGAGTGGTCCCTGGGTCAATACCACGAATCGGGTGTTGCCGGCCGTGAAGCCCTGAAGGGGGTTCTTGGACCCCTCATAGAAGGAGATGATGGTTTGTACGACTCCGATCGAGGAGTTGATGAGGTTGAGATCTCCATGTCGGCTCCAAATGGGTTTGCCAGCGGACGATAGGATCATGTACTGTTTCAGTTTCGACCGCCAAATGGCCAGCCTCTCGTCGTCTTTGAAGAACTCGTTTGACTCGTCGGGAAGCGCGGCAAACTCCCTTTCAAAATCAGCCAATCGATCTTGTGCGCCTCGTTGATGCCTCTCAAACGGCTGGACATTTGCAGCCTGCGACTTGAGCAGGTTCCAGGCGGCGCTCTTCTTGCTCAGGGAAGAAGTCAGCAAGCTCGCAATGTCTCCAGCTGGGCGCATCGTTGGCGCAAAGCTCATGATGCTGGCGGCATCATCTCCCTCGATGCCCGAGTTGCTCGCCCGGCGATTGGGAGTCGTGTAACCGCTATCCGTCGGGGTTGACGCTGACCGAGTGGTTGGCGTAGAGAATGTTCCCCGGCTTCCGTCGGGAAAGGACAATGTCTGGATGTCTAGTGGAGTGATGGCAGTCGTCGTCTGAGCCTGCAGTGCTTTCGGGTCGACTGAACTGTTCGCGGTGCTCGCGGCCGGCCGAGGCGGGAGCGGAGGGGGTTGCTCCTCGTGGGAGGAATCGCTCTCCTGTCCCATCTTGACTCGCAGCGCTGTTGCATCTCAAGGAGGGCTCAAGCGGGCGATCATCCAAGGGCTGGAGTGTTGCGCGATCCTGATGCTAGCGGCGCAGCGGTTCTATCCATCATGCCATTGCGTGCTGGGGGCGGCGATAATGGCGAAGGAGCATTAATGAGGGAATGCAGCGGAGGAGACAGAAGCGAAAGCTCCCAGGGCCGTATCGGAGCCCTTTTAATGATGCCGCAGCCTGCCGTAGGTAGCGGGTACTTGGCGGCCAGGGCCCTGTGCGACGCCTCTACCGGTACCTCCCAATGTTGGCAGCCTCGTCGGCCAGCGCTCCAATCAAACACCTATAGTGGGGTTGGTTGCGTATGTCGGCACATGTCCCTTGTACCTTGGACCTTAGCTTTGGGCGCAAGCACTGAAACGTAGCCTTCTGGACGGCTTCATTTGGCGAATAGACTGAGGCCATCCTGCAAACTGCATTGTATCCACAGCTGTTCCTTGCAGCTATGCGCCTCGCTCCCTGGCTTGCAAACGCCGCCGTCATTCACCTCGCCCATGAACCAATTAGCCCGTCATAATGGCGCTTGAACTGGGTCCTGGAGTGCGATCCGGGTCGCCAGAGAGCTCTGGGCGAGACTCGCCCATTCCACGGCAATGGAGGAACCAGCTTGGTGGAGGTGGGTAGGAGGCCTTGTGGGAAGCTTTTGTCTGCCGTGTAACTGATCTGATACTCCAGAGGACGCTCCTATCAAGGACAAGGCATACCGTAGATATGCTGCCGGAGTCGACAAGGCGTTGCTGTTGTTCGAGACGGCGCTGGAGGAATGGGCCGACTACATCTCCTTTCTCAACAGACTGCTCAAGGTCGGGCATCGGACATCAATCTTGATTCGCGATACAATACACTAACATGCTGGATATAGAGCCTGCAAGCCCGACCATCTGCCGTCTCCGTCATCCCCTCCAAGATTACAGTCGCGAAACGTCTGTCGCAATGCTTAAACCCGTCGCTACCGTCAGGCGTACACCAAAAAGCACTCGAAGTGTATAGTTATGTATTCGAAACAATTGGAAAAGATGGGCTATCTCGGGATCTCCCTTTATATCTCCCAGGCTTGGCACCTACTCTCTCTTTTGCGTCCCTCTCTGTTCGCTCGCCGTATCTCGACCTACTTGAGCGTCACTTTACAGGCGTTGACTCTAGGTCCTTGCGGCCAGCTATGAAATCCATCATACTGGCATTACTACCAGGGCTAGAAGATGAGACCAGCGAGGACTTTGATCGAACGTTGCGCCTGGTGGGGAGCTTCAAACAAGCCATTCGACCAGCAGATAGCATCGCCCTTACCGAGCAACATGCGTCAGGTGACGACTTCTTTTGGCAGTGCTTCTTTCTGGCCTCTGTTACAAGCCATAGCCGTCGTGCTGGTGCTCTTGCCTACTTAGTACGCAATCTTCCCGTGTTGGGTTCCGAGGCCTCCCCTGGAACGTCTGGTGAGAAAAATGGCCAATCCAATACGGAAAGCAACTTCAACAGTGACATTGCCGCCGTCGTTACCACCCCGGAGCCTGGTTTGCTCGTGAGATGTTTTGCTAGTGGCCTCTCTGATGATCAGCTGTTAATCCAGCGTGGTTTTCTCGACTTGCTCGTGTCTCATCTGCCCCTTAATTCTAAAGTGTTGCAGTCTCTTGTGAAGCCCGGTGATCTGGAACTTCTCCTGAGAGCGGCAGTCGGGGTAGTCACCCGACGAGACATGAGCTTGAATCGTCGATTATGGGCATGGCTTCTTGGCCCTGAGCCGACGGGCAACGAAGGGGAACAAAACCCCGAGTTGCACGGCACCGCATCAGACGGCCAACAAGCTCTGCTGTCCTCCCGGACCAGCTACTTTGAACACTTTGGACTGCAGTCACTCACAAAATCCCTTCTTGAAATGATCAAAGACACGACTCATAGAGGAGTCGCCGAACGAACTCGACCATATCGAATATGTCTTTCTTTAATGGACAGATGGGAAGTTGGTGGGCTTGTGATTCCAGACATCTTTCTTCCTGTAGTAGAGAGCGTACGACGGTTTCAAAAACAGAGCCCAGCCAAGGCAGAATTCACCGAGGTGTTACGCAGTGCAAGCGTGTTTTTCGATGGCATTGAAAGCGGTCTAATCTATGGCGAGCTTGTTGGACTCTTGTCTCAAGCTATTAGCCCGGGAAACTTGAGCAGCGAGGAGCGAAGCGATAAGCTGTCCTTGGTCACCTTCATCGTCACTAATTTCAATGTGCGTGAAGAGGAGATGGTTACAATTCACGCTCCCTTGACCTGCCTCGCCGCTTTGGTTATGCTAGAAGATGCGCGCAATTCGCAACATGGCGGCAACTCGTCGTTGAATGAACAAATCCTCAGCGTCGTTGTTTCTCTCCTCCAACTGGTTCCGGAACGAGCGTTTGTTGACTCTGCCACGGGCGACGCCAACCAAAAAAGAAAACATGATGATGTTTCTTCCCTATCGACCGCGGACTTGCTCAAAGGAATTCAAGGTTTTTACATCCACGGACAGGGAAATCTGGACGCTTCGCCGACGCCTTTCTCTCAAGTCGAAACTGGTGAGCTGATTTTGGACAAGGCAATCAAGTATATTGTTGATGACTCAGTCAAGCAAGAGTCATCGTGCTCCTTGAGTCTACATATCAGAGTCCTGCTTCTCATCTTATTAAAAGTGCCCAAAACCTACAGGTTCGATGAGATAACTCTAGTGTCTTCTCTAAAGGCAAAATTGGTGCAAAAGCGACCCTTGAGATTTTCAGACTTTTCTTCCATCTTGCACCTCATCGCGCAGCTCCATTACGTCGAGCGAGTCTCAACGTCAGAACTCTCGGAGCTGGTGCATCCTCTAGTGCAGCATGCATGGTCGTATCTCTCGGCCTCTGAGCCCAAGTATCATGTGGAGACGGTTCGATGCCTGTGGCAGCTCCAGTCTGCTCTTTCGTTATCTCGCCGCGATGTTGAAGCGTCGCTTGCGAGCATCCTGGTCGAACAGAGTGCTGGTGATGGTGCAGATATTGGACGCGCTTTCGGTGTCCTTTGGTCACACACTCTTCAGGATACACCATCCGATCGTCGAGGACCCAAGATCCCTACCATTGAAGCAAAGCTGGGCCAAAAGCTGAGTGCGACTGATCACTACGAGATCATGCTCACGCGGCCTCTCTTCCTCGTACTGGACGGATTACTAGACGACAGGACCCAGATGTATATGACGGTTAGGTCGTGGCTGAACAGCATGGTTGGCATTGATAGGTATTTCCCGCTCCTTCTCCGCGTCCATGGCAGATTTTCTAAGAGCTATTTATAGGCTTTTCCTACTCTTTGTCGTTAAATTCGCAGAGATACCCTGTCTTCGAGATGTCGGAAAAAGTGTTGAAGCTGAAAAGCCTCAGCCCGAAGGCCCCATTTTCAACGAGGATGACGACATTGACCTCTGCTTGTATTACCTTAGGACTCTTCATCATGTGCTGGACAGCTCGGGAGAAAATTCAAGAGCAGTGCTTGTGTCCAAGCACCTCTCGTTTAACAGTGTCGGTCAGGTGCAAATCTCTAGTATGTACTTCGCGTTCGACAGAATAGGTAATTAGTGCCTCTTGCTAATCTGTGATTTTATAGCCGGCGGAGATGAGGACGATATCACGCTCCAGGATTATTTCGTCAGAGTGTGCTTGGCTTGCATCACTGGTGATGCTTCTGCATCTGCCAGCGACGACCTTAACAACAGGGTCTCCCAGTTACATCGTTGTGCACTCACCGTCCTCCACAGCTTCCTCATAACTCACCATGCGGCTCCTCTATCCAACCTTCATCTCGACCACCTCCTGATTGACAGATTGATGAAATCTATTGGAAGCCCGGATCCGTATGTGCAAGTTCTCTTGCTTGAGGTCGTCTTCGATGCGCTCAAACTGCAGGACACCGTTGCGGCGGAGCTTTCGATTCCATCGGCCGCTGAAAAGCGACGCACAAGCGCGGATCCTCTACACGCGGTGCGATTATCCATCTCTGCGGGCGACACAAGACCACCTCCCATGATAATGCCGCCCCAGCTGCTCAAGTGCCTGCAGGCAGGCCTAAGCTCGACAAGCAGCCAGTTTGTTCTAGAGAACTGGGTTACATTTCTCGGCAGATGCTTGCCCTTTTATTCTCAGTCCATCTTCCAGATTTTGATACCCCTCGTTGAGACTCTATGCAAGCAGATTGGTGTTACGTTCTCGCACTTGAAAGACATGTTTGAAGACGAAACTTACGAAGTCAAGAGTGAGAGTGGAACTCCAGAATCCACCTTGATCTATCTTCTGAATGCTTTGGAGCAAGTCTTGGCAAAGGCTCATGATCAATTGCTAGCTGAAGAAGCCCAAGCGCTGGCCCTGAAGGGTCCTGACCAGCCTCAGTCAATCTTTGGGAGCATGGTATCGGGCGTCTTCCAATCTGATACCCCTCAATCTCGAAGCGCTACAGCCAATGACCGCCTGACTGTTCACCTAGCCTTCCAAGATGCCGTGCGGATGTGCTTCTCCATCTGGACTTGGGGACAGGGAGATGATGCTACTACTCAAGACATCAACTCGTCCGCCTCCTTCAACTACACATCTCTGAGGATGAGGAATCGGGCGCGGAGGCTCCTTGAGCATCTTTTTACGGCGGAGACACTTGAAAGCCTTGAGACCGTGATTGACGTTTGGAGAAATTCAACGAGCGCAGCCGACCATGCCATAGTGTTTAACTTTTTGGCAGCTTTGGATGCAGCAAGGCCAAGGCATTCGATGCCAGCGCTTTTCAATTCAATATATAGTCGTACTAACCCGGCTGCGCTGGAACCTTCGCGGAAATCAACAATGACCATCTCACTTCAGGACGCCGACTTGGTCGTCTTTCTGGTCGAGTACGCCAGGTCGCTTGACGACGATGCCATGGATGAGATATGGCAAGACTGCATAACGTTCCTCAAAGACCTCCTGAACAACCCTTTCCCTCACAGACAGACGCTTCCTAGTCTCTTAGAATTTGCTGCCATCTTGGGCGAGAAAGTTGACAATACCAATTTTGGGGAGCAGCGAAAGATGCGCAGGGAATTAGGAGTGAGTTTATTGGTTGTGATCTGCTAAGCTGTAACTCCGTGACTAACTGTTCATCACTACAGGACCTCTTTCTAAGGCTGCTTACCGCTCTATTCACTACAAGGCCAACTTTTGCTGAGCCAACGAGTTCTAACGGTACGTCGGGGCCGAGGCTCGTCAAGGGCGAGCTGGAACGTCGCGGCACATTCCCTGGCGCCCTCGAAAGATCTGATGATGTCGTGGCCATCCTCGCATCCGTTGTTCCAAACCTGCCCAAAATCCTCCTCGAACCCGACCGAGTGCTGTCTGCAGCAGGAACAATATCAACCAACGTTATTGGCCCAACGTTCCGCTCCAAAACATTTCCTGATTCCGTGTCTTCGAGTACCTTGAAGCTCTTACATGAGCTGTCCAGGCTGCCGAACAACCAGAAGACGTGGAAGAAGGACGTCGGCGACGCCTTCAACGACAGTAAATTCTTCGCAATGAGCCTTGCCCTGGTACAGGATGCCTGGCTGCCATTGCTGCGGCAATGGACCTTGACGGACAAGGAGAGGATACCGGAGATTGTTGGCCGCATCAGCGCGCCCACCACCGCGGGAATAGTGTTCGGCGTGGGTGCCACCTCTGCCCGTCTCGAGGCCGATCGAAAGACGCAGCTGAACCTGCGGAGGATCGCCACGCTGGTTCTTGCCTCGGCGGACGATGCCTTTGTCACGGACATACCCGTCATTTTCGACAAGATAGTCGAGCTGTTTGGAGCCACTTCGACGTCATCACCATCGTCCACAACACGAGCCGAGGTATACATGCTCATCAGGGCGCTGGTGCTCAAGATTAGCCCCATCCACCTCGCCAGGCTGTGGCCCGTGGTCAACGCCGAGATTCACTCCGCCATTTCGTCCATCGTGGCTCCAGACCACAGCACGGCATCCGAAATCTACGTCTGCTCGGCCATACTGCAGGCGTGCAAGCTTCTCGACCTGCTCATCTGCGTCGCCCCGGACGACTTCCAGCTCCACGAGTGGCTCTTCGTGACGGACACCATCGAGGCCGTGTACAGATCGGCCACGTACCAGCCCGTCGCCCTCGTCGACGAGATCTCGGAAGAGCTCGGCGCGACGACTTCTTCCGCTCAGCTGGCCGCCGTGACCAACCACGACGATGCCATGACGCTGGCGCAGATGGCGACCAGCAACAACGGCTCGCGCCGCCTTCCGCTCCTGGGCCTCGGGGGCATTGGCGGCGACGCCGGCTTTGAGAGAAAGGACGAGCTGGTGGCAAAGGTTCTCAGGCCGTTCTTTGGCCAGCTGAGCATCTTTGCGTTCGAGTCGACGTATGCCATGGGGGTGGTTGACAGGGAGGCCTGTGTGGAGGCGCTGCTGAAGGATCTTTTTGATGATCGCAGTATGGTGAAGGCTTTGTAGATGAGATCAAGTGGAGAGAATTTCTCGTCGGAAATTAGCATGAGATAGAGATGGAAGCGAGATAGATGGACCGATAGACTTGAAGTATTTTTTTTTACATAAATATATAATAAATACAAACATTTGGTATTATATTTCATGTATAGATGTCCCTTCTTCAATTGACACTTCCTGCTATTATCCCGGAATTTACTCATGTCGTAAATTCCCAATGTTTATTATTCATAGCCACATTTGAACAAGCTTTGCTCTGTGAGCAAATACCCAACAGCCTGCCGCCCTATCCTCAAAACTCCCTGATAAATAGCAAGAATAGATATCAAGCCAGAAACGAGAAGATGTTTTCCCCAAATACGCCACCATATATATTTATTTTTGCAACAGAAAGTCATCCGATGGAATCAAATCATACCACAGGCGGCAGTCCAATCATCCTCTCAATAATGTCATGGTATAGCTGCCTATTGATAGCGGCGCCGAACTCTATGCACCGGATGAAGGGCCTCAGCTCAACCAACAGGGTTGTCAACAAGCCATCGGCAAAGAGCAGTTCGTATGAATACTTGGACGCCAGGTCGAACCAGATCTGCGCGGGAGAAATCTCAGTCGGGTCAACCTCAAACCGGGCTAGGGCCCAGAGGGAGCTGATGGAGATACCGGTAGCCTGCCATTGGAAGGTGGGCGCCTGTGTGGTCGTAGGATCTATGCCTGCGAACACCTGGCGGTCGGTGAAGATGGATGCGGGTGCGGCATTCATCATGAGGGAGGTTGCTGTGAGGATGTGGTTATTGCCTCCCTCAGTCTCGCCGGGGACGTGCGAGTGGAAATCATTGGATTGGAAATGGTCCCAGCAGATGTTTTCAAGACTGTTGAACAAAAGAAGGGGGGGGGGCATGTCAGTCAGGCTCTAAAGGCATGTACGCAGTCTATCGGCATGGGCTGATGAAACTTACGCTAATATCCAATTAATCACAATCTGTTCTTGCTGAGGAGTAAGAGGTGGCGTCAAGGGGGGGTTTTCAAAGCTGGGCGGGCTGGCATAGCCCTGTACGCTGCTGCCAGTGGAAGGGTTACTGACGGTGAAGCATGGCGTTCCCAGAAGATCGTTAATGCCCAGTGACACAGTAATGTCGTCGAGGTTGATGTGGCCAAACAGTTCAGCATCGTTGGAGGTTGAAGGCATCAGGGGGTTTTGGTTGAGGTCCAGGTCGGACAAGTGTCCGCCGGTGAGCCATTCCTGGGTATCCAGCTCGGACGTATTACCACCCAGGCGGGTGCCGGGAGAATCTGTGTTTGAGAAATAGGTGGAGTCGGCTTGCTGTGGATATGTGTGCTGCTGAACTGGCTCAGTTCTTCTTATTAGGTCTCGGATGCCGTTGTTTTCCTTGAGCATCTGAGACGTCTCTTGCTGGGCCTGGGTGATGAGGTCACGCAGCTGAGACACATCGAGCTCCAGCTGCTTGACATAGTTTGCCTTTCTCTGTCGGTGTTGAATCTGGGCCTTCCTGACCTGAGCTCGCCGCAGCTGGGCCTTGTCCTTGGCGTCGGCGTCCTTGGCGGTCTCGCCGGCATCTTCATCTGCAGCTCGCAATCTTAGCTCAGCCTCCATCTTCTTCTTGTGCACCTTGGACCGGGTTCGTCCAAGCTCTCGAGACGATGGAACACGACTAAGGTAAGGCATGGCGTGGGCAATAGTGTGATATACAGTATAGGAGCGTGTGCAAGATTCCAAACTTTTAAGTGGGACTCGCCGCCATGAATGGAATCAAGACAGACAGATGCAGTAACGCCCACAGCCGCAAACGAGATGATCAAGCGGTGGATGAAGGAGCATTTTCAGCCTCTTGATGGAGCGACTGGCTCTGTCTTATGAAGCTGAAAACGCATCACACCCATCGAGGGTAGTAGTACGGAGAAAAGGGTTGGACGCTAGCCCATGAGGATTCCGGCATCCATCTATTCCAAATCACGAAGCACTTGCTCCGGGGGATCTGACAGCCGGCGACGACGGGGAGATTAAAGCGGTAGGTTACACCTTCTTAGATGATCGGGCCTCGTGTGGAATACCCGTAGCACTGGCTACTCTGGCGCCTGTAATCATTGAAAAGCGCCCCGGATTCCGCATTCGACGTGTTGCTGTGGACGTGGCCAATCCACGTCTCTTCGGCACTCGAGCTCCCCTCCTCGCACTCTAGCGCGCGTCTCTCCCCCCAACGGAACCCGTCTTGGGACAAGCAAGATGGAATCATTGAGATAGGTCAACGGACCAAGTCAAGCATAAATCGTGGGCTGCATGGGCAGGGCGACAAAAGGGGCAACGCGCCATCTGGAAACTCACCAGGATCTTGATCTTCCTCGCCAGCTTCGGCTTCGGCCTCGTCCTGCTGCAGCTCCGCAGTCGACGATGGGCTGGCCGACGTTTTCCCCTTCTTCTTGTGCTGGTCGCCGGCCTCGCCCTTCTCCTTTTGTTTGACTCGCTTCCAAAAGGTGGTGAACGAGGGCCGCTCACCGTCGGCACCCTCCGCATCCGCCATTGTGGTGGTCAATGTGAGTGTGAGTGTGAGTGTGAGTGTGAGTGTGAATCAATCACGACGCAGCTCGTCTTGTCTGGTGTGCTTTTGCTTTGGTCAATGCTACGTCACCGAGCAACAGAAAGCCAATTGACCTCGACGACGAGAATCCCTTGCCCCAAAATAGCACGAACACCAGGGAGCTTGTTTCCAAAAGACACAAAGATGAACAGAGCAGCTTCCAAATCTCGCCCTTTTTGCTCTTCACGGATAGGCCTCGGAAACGGGTTGGTGTGGTTGCGTCTGCGCTTGTCCGCTGTAAGCAATTTGCCCAGCGAATTCACGATGAGCCGGGCGCAACGGACGTCAGCTGCTAGGACTCGAGTCAAGCCTCTCAAATCAGCAACCCCGAATATCCCGTATAGAGTCCTGGCGATGCAGAGAAATGATCGAGAAAACCGCAAGATGCTTCTTCGCCTCGTAACGTGTCAAGGTTCAAAAAGCTCGTTGTGAGAAGGCGCCAGGCTTGCAAGCGATACGGAGTTACCAAAAGTTACTGCCTACTAGGTACTATACTACCTATGCTGGGCCTACTATTTTTTTTGGCTTCCGGACGGAAGTTGTTCAGCCAATTACCGGACTCGGCTGAGCAGGTACCTGTACATAAGGCCACCTAAAACACGCCGCGGCCGTTGGCGTTAGTGGCGCTTGTAGGCGACTTTGGCGAGCGTAGAGAACCTGGAAGTGCGGCTACAACTGCTGTGGGCGCTGAACAATTCCAGTGCCCGTGCTACCTGCAAAGTACCTATTACATGTTTCAGATCCAATTGGCATGGATCGATGTCCTCGTAGTGTGTATTTTGACAGAACCTCATTCTCATCACCTCGATAGTACCCAGTAAAATCAGGCCATTGATCTCTAAAGTTGGCGCTGAAGATATCAAAACATCAGGAATCCCTCAACCCCCATTAGGCATTTCGTCCCTTAGTATTTCCCGTTATCGCCCATCCAGAGGTACCCGGTACCGCCGTCCAAGCGGAGATCCCACACGCTAAATGCCGACAATCCCCAAAAATCCCGTCAATGAGATCCCGAGCATCCAAGTCCAAGCAACAAAAGCAGCAAACCTCGTCGGCACAAAAAAACCGACCCAGCGGCTGGAATCGTGCCATCCATAACAAATTGCCGATCGCAGAGCCTTTTTTGCTCCGCAACAGGCGCGCGGCATTAGCTGCAGATGCCACCTGCGTTCAGGTGCAAATAGCAGTGCACAAGTAGGTACTCGGTAGATGGGAAACGCACTTCTCATAATGATTTGAAATAAGCAAAGGGGGTGGTGGTATCTGCGACTCTCCGGCACATGTGCCCAGGTCGCTGTTATCAAATTATTTCAAATACTTATACTCCTTACTTGATTATTTCAAATTCACTTGCATGCCCGCAATCCCCACGGCGTCGCAGCGCATCCAAACATCTTCCTAATAGGTTATAAATGCTTACTTCATGAGGGAAATAGCAACATGAAATCACATCACGGCAATCGGCATAGTTTTACCAGGACAACGAACTTTAAATTCAACGACCCGCTCTCAATCCTACATACCTACAGCCGCTGTATACATGGTAGCTCTCAAATCAAAGCCGATAACAAGCAAAGGTTGTTCCTTTTGCCAAACTCCTCGCTAATAATGAAACAATCAAAGCAACCCAACGCCCAAGGTCCAAATGCACTTTTGCACATCGGCATGATCCCGGCCTCCTCCCCCTGGTCGTTCCAAAAACCAGTAGATCAGAACGAGAGATGCGAAAACAATTCCAAATAAGAATTCTCGGCCATACACACAAACACACACTGCTTTTGTATATCCGTCTTTCTTATCTAATCGTCGCCGTCTTACTCAGACTCCCCGCCGTCGCTATCGGTTGCGGTGCCTTCGTTAAGCTCTTCGTCATCTTCCTCCTCGTCGAAATCGTCACTGTCTTCTTCGTCGTCTTCCGCATTCAAGCCGGGGACTGCTTTCCAATGCACATAGTCGTCCGCTAACCACCGTTTGCTCACTGGTAGCTGGTATGGGTCAAACGGGAAATAGGGGTCAAGCTGGTGAAAGCTTTCCTCTTGAGTATCGAAGCCAGAATCTCTGAGGGCACCTCCGGTAGAGTAAGTCGACGACAAGAACTGTGTCAACCGGATGCGTTTGTTGCTTTCAATCAACGGATACGCGTACATAAAGTTGAGTCGGTGTGCCAGCTTAGCAAACTCATCGACAATGACGGGCGCGCACACCTTGAGCGGGTTGAGCTTGCCAAAGATGTGGGTTGAAAGATCCTTTCTCGTCGTGCCAATCCACTCGAGATCCTGGCCAATATAGGATGCTGGGTCTTCGGGGTCGACAAACTCGGGAGCAGACACGATCAAGTCTTGCCAACGGAAGCAAAAAATGTAGAGGGTGGCTTGCAGAAGGCTGTAGTAAGGGTGAAAGCGCTTGAGGTCCGGACCGCGGCAGAGGGGCTCGTATTTCCTGCGGTACTGGTCCAGATGATGGATCAACAGCATAAAGATGGTGCGCACCAGGCTGCGCGGCACGAGCGCCCCTCGGGCGACAAAGCTTGCCAGGTAGGCGGCGGCAGCCTGTTTCAAAATATTCGGCGTGTTGCTCTGGAAGGCGCTGGCAATAAGCTGACCGCAGAACGCGTCCGTAAGCCGCTCGTGCTGCTGTGCAAAGTGAAAGATGAGGAACTGCGTATGCCGTGATTTGTACGTCGGCAAGACCATTTGGTCAAACTCGCGCAGGATGACGATGAACATGTCAAACGCCTTGTCTGACCCAGGGTTTGCAAAGTGCGGCGTGTAGACTTCGAATAGGGTATCAAGCATCGAGTCCATCTTCTCCACGCTGTCTTTCAGAGTCTTGATTCGGACGGCCTCTTGGTCATAATCTACGTCGTCGCTATCGACGGACTCGGTATCGCTGTCATCATCTGCCTCGTCTTCCCAGCTGCCTGTCTCTTCTTGAGGGTTCTCGCGCAGCGCGTACATGACGGCGGCAGTGATATCATCGTCCGTGTCTTCTAAATCCAACTGCATCTGTGAGTCAATTTTAACAACGCGATCTAGTATCATGTCGAAAATGTCATCCTGCAAGTCGGGCACGTATTCTTTGACCTGGAGAAGATTGTGGATATAGGCCATGTGGACTCTCATCGAATCGTCGAGGAACGGGAACTTGCTTCTTAGCAGGTTTTCTAGCACTCCAACGGCGGCTGGAAACATCTTGAGAAGGTATTGCAAGGTCGAATGCAGCCTCTCTCGCATCGTGTCGCGGCTGATGTCGGGGAAATCGGGAACTCGCCATGAGGACGGGCGAGTGTCGTGGAACTTGTCCACGATCATGGTCAAGACTTGGTTGAGGTAGGATCCCTGAGCACTGACCAGCGCGGCTAGGAAGTGCGTAAACACTTTGACAAAGGCGGCATCTCGCCCCAACCAAGAGCAGTTGAGAATGACCTTGACCAGGCCATTGCAGTCCTTGCTCTTCAGAATTGGGATGCAGCCAGTCAGAGCCATCAGGTAAACTTGCAGCTCGTGAGGCTTCAGCGTATCATCCTCTTCTCCCACCACCGGCGGTAGGTATCTCTTCTTATCGTTGGCGAACATCTCTTTCAGTCCGTCGTACTGGCCGTCGTCTCCTCGGAGGTGGGCCTCCAGCGCCATGCGCACTTCTAACTTGACTTCGTCCATTGTTCGCCGGCCGACCTCGTACGTCACATTCTTTATGTCGTCGAAGAACACCTTGCGGCGCTTTCTGGAAGCTTCCTGGGCCTCTGAGCCCTCGCTGGGCGCGTCGTGCTGGTCCTTCCTGCGGCCAAGAGCTGAAGCAGGCTTGAGTATGGATTTGACCGGAGGAGCGCTCCTAGGCAAAGTACCGGGGAGGGTTCTTGGGGTTGAAATAAATGGTCGCATGGATGGCAATATCGCTAACCGATGATAATGAAGAGCGCAAAGATAGGATGCTAGCAAGATTGATGGCGAGTCTCGCGGCGTCCGTTACGGGAATGCAGCGATGAAAGAAAAAGGCTGTTCTCTGCGGTTGCCAAGTCCCTTCATACTCAAGCTACGGAGCACTTAAAAAACCACAATCAGTCTTTCGGATAAGCGCAAGCACATGGCTTGGGCTCCAGCTGTAGAAATGCGAAATAGCCGTCGATTCGAATAATGTGGTTGAATGATGCTGCGGAGAGAGTGACGGCGTCAATGCTGGGACATGGATTATTTTTTTCCTGCACATTAATATGCGTCAGGGAAGATTTTCAATCAAGTGGGGACCCCGCACGTGCCTCGCAACCAAGTTGGCTTAGGCAGCAAGAGTGGTCCGTGCGTCATTCGGAATATTCTTTTGCCTTTGCGAAGCGCCTTTGTTGGACAATGACGAAGGCGTACTTGTAAGGCTTGACAGGATGTGAGATGAAAGCCGTAACACATCAAAATCGACAGCATTTCCAGCCATGCATGCATTCCATGGAATCCCACTGACGCCACCTCAATGCAGTATCACTTGACTATGTAAGAGTCATTCATCACTCAAATGGAGGCGTCGCCAGTGGCTACTCCAGTTGCGTCGTCATGGTAGCAATCGCAATTCACATGACAACCTGGAACATAAAAAGACAAATGACGGTTGATGTAAAATGAATATACCCAGTAGCACTAAACTCTTGATAGTACTAGCATATAGTAGTAGTAAACTCGTATCGAATATTCCAACTCCGTAACCCACAGTCTGGACCCCATGCATAATCCGTTATCCTGCTTGGAAAAGTCCTGAATTCCCTGCTGCCGAGAAAGATGTATATCGTATCCCAGGGCCGCTCCTGAGTCGACAGGTCAAGCTTCGAGGGAGAATCTACCTGTCTGAACAATCATCTGTAGCTGAAGCCCAAGAACTAAAGAAATATAAAAAAAAAGAAAACAAAGTTAAGCCCATGCATTCGCCTTAGAGAGAGTTGGAATTCTTTCACGCCCCTTCTCTCCTTGTTCTTGCCCCATCCTTTCCAACTTCAAGTATACTGGTAATGTTATTGCCCCAAGTCAAATGATCAAGCACTGGTACTTTTTATTTCGAGGCGAGGGTCGAGAGGCATGGCCGGCGAATCGGGAGAGATTTTGGAAGAGATCGACGGCCCCCTTGTGCCAGGCTCACCGGGAGGGGTTGAGGTACCAGGCTCACTGGAAGGGGTTGAGGTACCAGACCTTGCCGTCTTCAGTTCACGGAGGCTGTCGGCCGGCGAATCCTCCTAATAACTCTCGCCAGCACCAGCTCCGTTGTGACCGGCATGAGAAGTATACATGTAGTTCGGATCGGCGCCCCCTTCGGCAGGATTCGTTCCCTCGGGGGGTGCATAATCGGCACTCGTTGTGCCTGGCTCAGTCTTTTCGGCACCCGGGATCATTGCGCCGCCCCAGTTGTTGTTCTCTAGGACACGATCACGGTTCGATTGATTTTGTTGCTATTTTTCCATCGCCTTGTTAGAAAGAGAAACAAAATTGAGAGGGGTTCATGGTGTGAACTCTTTCTTACCTCACGGTACTTTGAGAGATAGACCTTTAGAGCCTCCGCATAGTTCTCGAAACCCAGTGAAGTCATGGCAAACAAAATGTCTTCTCCGTTGACTGTCTTGCGTTTTTCTTGCTGACATTTCTCCGAGGCTGAGGCAAGACAAGTCAGCATACGCAAAGGCGCGCTCTCCATGAGACAAAGCCCAAAACCCAGACATACCTTCGCTGGTTATGAAGGAGATGAACTCGCTAACACACTCCTGCATGCACTCTTTGGCCTCTTTCGCAATCTTGGCGTTGTCAGGTAGGGCATTCTTCATGATTCGGGCGACTGGAGCAAAGTTGCGGATGTTAGCATCTAGCTCATCGGATTTGTCGGCCTTGGAGGCGCGCGGCGTCTCCTGCACATTAGGAAACAAATGGTGAGGCATAGGGAATATGCGAGGCTGAGAAAAGCGAGCAGCTCACACACATGCGGCAAGCAATCATGATTCGAGAATGGCGCCGAAGGGGGGACGATGAGGACATACCATTGGCTATAGGCAACCACCGGTCTTGCTCCTTGACACCTTCAAACTCATAGCCAGTCCCTCCGGCCGAGTGGGGTTCCTGGTTATCATTCATTTGTCCTTCCTCGTCGGGTGACTGTGCACCTTGGTCGACATCCTTTGGAGGAGATTGAGGGGAGTCGGACATATTTGGCTACCTGCAGCGGCTGCTAGCGTCTTTTGTAAAATCTTCGGGTTGGCACAGCTTCGGTAGGTTTCGCGATGATGTGTCCCCCTGGCCACGTCGCAGAGGTAGCAGAGGCTTGCCCGATACGTCGAGAGGGGTGTGTGCAGTGCGAAAAGATGCGTCAATCGTGACAAAACGCGAGGGATCTAGGTCGCGGCAGGTTGGGTCTGCCCTGGCTGGACGACACAGGACCTATGACGCCCGCTTGGCGTATGTATGTATGGGCTGGCAAGCCGGTTGGGAGAGAATATCCCTGGTTGGAGGGGGAAAGGCCGGAGGGGGAGGGGTGGCCTTGGTAAAAAAAAAAAAAAAAAAAAAAAAAATTAAGGGTCCGCAGTAGGTCCGCAGTCGTAAAGAGCTTCCAGTCGATACGATTGGGGAGCAAAACAACAAAGCTCTGTCCAAGCAGAGGCAGCGCTGCTACGAGGGCGTGAGCGAATCAAGCACTGGCACTGGCTTTTCTCAGCTGCTGACGGGTCTCTCTGGCTCTGGCTACGGCAATGGCCAGGCGGATTCGAGGATTCACAGCTCGAACAACAGGCAGTGACAATGACAACGTCGACGGGGGTGCGCCTTGGACAACAGACGAGGTCTTCGCGTGCAAACGGCTCTTGGGACGGATTGGTGGCGCGGCCAAGTTACACGGTCGCGCAGGGTTCCGGGTCGTAAGGCGACTGGTTCGAGGTCAGAACAGGAGGCTCGCGGGGGGGAGTCTGGGAAGCGTCTCACGAGGGTGTATTGCGCTGTTTGCTCTGCGGCTGGCGTGGGTGCATAAGTGTGAATGTGAATGTGGAGTGCAAAGAAAGAGGAAAAAGAGAGGACGAGGCTAGTGGTGGACAGCAGCGCGGTGTTGTCGGCCGAAATAACAGCGGGAACCTGGCGGGCAGGTAGCGCGGTACTTTGCGCAGCTAGCCCGGTACTAAGGCAGTGTCTCTGGATGGGCAGCGCTGCAGTGACAGCCTTTTGCAGCTTTATCGATAGAGGGGGGAAACAAAGGCTCGAGGTACCGCCTCATACTGCGGCGCGGGCAGTGGTACCGCCAGCGAGTGGGTGGTTGTTGCCCAGCAGCAAAGCTACCTTGGGCAGCTCGATCTGCACTAGCAGGGCGGGTATCTGGAGCTGAAGCTGACAGTACCCGGTTACTTGCTTGATTGGTATCGTTCAGTATGTTTGGGGCCGTTCAAACGTTTCGATGTTGACCACTTACCGAGCAGAGGTACCTGGTGGCTCTTGGGACATGCGACACGATCTACTACCGGCTTAGTATGATGCTACCTACAGATATTGCCTGAGAAGTGGTGATAGCATCAGCTGCAAGACTACTGGTACTAACATCGGTCCTCCATTAGTACTAATGCTGCCATCAATTACCTATCCAGGGAACAAGTACTATAGTTAGCAGCTCTTGTAAGCGTGGCATCCATCTGTATGATAATTGTACCAACTACGGGTTGGCATTTGCAGCAGCATTCTCCATTACGAGAAAATCCTATTTAAAAAAGTAACCAAAAAGGCCCACCGCATATGTATGCGCTCAAATCACCAGACCACTCAATCCGCACACCCCGGCTCGCCATGATTCTGGTTTAGAATGCCTCATGTGAGCCTTTGACCACGGCCAACATCACCCTACGATTGATGATCCTCGTCCCAAGTGCGTCTTTTGCTGGGCTAAAACTCCCAAGGGGGGGCCAGATGGTTGTACCAAGGCATCAGAGGCGGTGTGTTACAGCAGCTATCCGCGGCGTCCTCTTGGTGGCATCAGCTAAAAGACCTTCGGATGATATTCCTGCATCGGGAGAAAATAAAAAGGCATCAATGGCATCTTGAACAGAGTCTAGCAGCCAGCGAGAGCCCTCCCCCTTGCCCTGGCGCAGCGAAAACAGGCCCGGTGCACTTGTACCAGCTCCCCCTGTCCTGCGATATGCCGTGATACAAGCATGGTCAGCCTCGTGGCTGTGACGTCGTCGTCGCAAACGACAGCCCACGAAGACGGTACCGGGATGGTGGGCTACTGCAGTTGCTCATTTGACAATGGATCGCAGGCCATGGCCAGACGCCGCTAAGGCAAGCCTCTCCTCAGGAACCCGGTGGCTGAAAAGTCGGCCCCCCCAAAAAACGAGTTGTCAAGTCATTGGGCCGCATTTCAAGTCTGCCCAGTGGTTGGCTGGTGACCGACGCCGGGCGGGAACGAACCACGGCCTGGCTCTCGACAACCTCTCGGGCATTGGGCAGTTGTTTGGGCCAATGGTGACGTTGGCGCTGCGAATAGGCCCCTCTGTTGGTTCTCTGATTCTCATTTCGCTCCAGGCACAGCTCCGCCAGAGACGGCAACATGCATCCCGCGGTAACCTCTGAAAAGACGGCATTTCGCTCCGTCTAAGCACTTCGAAACGGCGCCCCTGAGCTGCCGGCGGTCCGCAGGTTGATTGGGTAGCGAGCCCAAACGTCCCTCGCCCTCCCATTCTGCCCTTGTCCCTGCGCATGGCTAGACGGAAGGATGGCGGGCTTGCTTGATGGGATGGATGGATGGATGGATGGATGGGTGCTGAGCTGGCTTGAAGCCCAGCTGCACCCGGCTTGGGCATGAAGCACAAACATGCGCATAAACATCCGTTTCCTCGATGCGTCCAAGTTCAATCCTCACCCGCCCGCGAGCTTTCACTTGTTGGGGTTGGATCCTGCAGGCAAGCTAGGCCCATTTGATGTGTAGTAGCTCTCGCCGCGCATGTACGAGAATTGGTGGTATTTGCCGGCTTTGATCGACTCGCCCTCTGTCTAATTTGTGCGTGTGAGGAACAAGAAAGTTACAAACACCACTCCGTGTTCTCATGTTTCCCCCCAGTCGCTGGCGGGCTGCATGACAGATGCGAGCAATGCATAATGGCGGTAAGTGTCATCGTGACATGGAGACGGGTTTCAACACTCGCACAAAGTAAGCAACCCGGGCATCCACAGTTTGCAGTTCGCAGAAATCGTTTCATGTCCGTAGCCGCTACTAGCCATATAGTAGCTTTTCGTGAGCGTTCAAGGTACACAAGGTGTAAGTAGTAGTCGTCAATGAATGCATATCTAGCGGCTTCATATCTCTCCTCTTATTTGCTTCTGGGCCTCTTCGTCCCACTCTAGTCTGGCGACGTAACATTCCAGAAATGATTCCACGCTTCTTTCATGAACAAGACGGCTCTAGGGGTGGTGTCACGAGCGAACATACGAGCCATAAGGAGGGGGGATGAGATGTAGTGAGCATCCCACCCCTCCATTAAGCCGGCTTGACAACCTGCAGATGGGTCCCCATGTATGTTCTTTAGAGATTCTGATGTGTAAGCTGTGTGATTCTCCAATATCGATGAGGTTGATGGAGGGTGGCTACTACCCTGGAATCCGTTAGATGAAGTGTTGTCATCACGGCTTGCCACTTGGCAGTGTGAAGTCGCATCTCGAGAGCTACGCAGCATATGCTGTGGTGATGAAATCTCCGAGAGGGATGCCACATGCGTAGGCAAATGCTGGCTTCGCACTCGGTGATGAACGCACTCTTCGATGTGATATAGCATATAGTGCGGCTGACACTGGCGAAACGTTCCGATTGGGCTGCGGCAATGTAAAGTGATTTGTACGCATCTAGACCTCCCCTGAGACTCCGATTGTTGGGAATCCATATATTGAAAGACACGCCGAATCGCACAGACGGACCCCTGTTTGCATCACTGTAATTAATTCTCACACGCTGTGTGTGGCCTAAGGTGCGGATACGGCAAGGTGGAGGCTGCATGCAGTTGGGCTCTGAAGCACCATCAGCAGAAGGATGAATTCCGAGCGGCTGAACAACCAGGCATAAAGGACCATTCGAATGCCAAGGCTCTGTCTCTGCGCCGTTCAGGGGAATGGCCACGTAGAGCTGGATGGTGTGGCATAGGCAGCTGTATGCTGACGAGGAAAGCAAAATGAAACAGATGGAGGTGCATTCGCAACTGAGGACTGATGATAGAATCCACATATCCCGCCGCCTCATCAAACGGTTGGGCTTTTGCTTGGCCCCAAGAAGTTTTTCCAATTTTTTTTCTCCTATCAGATGACATAGTTTGTTGTGTACCTCATTGCTGTACTACCTGAACATTGTTCTTCTTCTGTTGGTTTGGCAAAGAGAGGTTAGCTTTCCGTTGAACCTTGAAAAGGATTTGGACAGGTTGAATACGAACCTTCCACTTGTCTAATTCATCTTGCTTGTTTTTGTACTGTTTAACCAAATCATCGAGGACTTTCTTCAGTCCCTCCTGGTTTGTCTTGAGTGCTGGCACGACATCCTTGACCGTCCTCTCCACGAGCACTCCGTTGATCAAACGGAAACACTTTCGATCCCCCGAAAGAGGCTCCAAAGTCTCAAGTACAAGCCTAGAATAGTCGCCGAATTAGCGGTGTGATACATTGGGTCACGCTGAGGCTGAAAATGGGCGGCGTAGACAGGGAAGAGGTGAAACATGGCTTGAAAGCGTGGGGGTTTGATATCCCACGACGGAAAAAGACCAAAAGAATTAGCAAACGAGGGATTGACGAAAAAAAAAAAAGGAAGAACGAACTTGTGTTCTTCTGCCTCCTGCTCAATATCACCGATTTTTGAGGCAATCTGCTGCAGTGTGTTCTTGTAGTTGGAGTAAGTGGTCTGAAGGTCTATGAAAATGGTAAGCAACGTGAGATCGAGATGACAAAGGAGGGGATGACAGCAAGCGCAGGAATGGAATGCCCGTGTAGTGGGCACGTACCCTGTTGCTTCCTCACGGGAAGCTGTTGTGATGACGCCATGGCCGCCGCTGTGAAAGAAGAATATAGAGAGGCTGTAAGAGAAGGGCCAGCTATCCCTGCGATTCACTATGTGAGATGTTGAGGCAGTGGAGAGTTTCTGTGGCTGTAGGCCATTTGATTGCTATCGACGTGGGCATCGGTTGATTCCCGGCACTGTGAGCGGCAGCTATTAGCGGAAACCCCCCGCTAGAGGCAACGCCTAATCATTGCCTGTATGGTCCAAGCTTTTTTCTAGATGCAACATCTGCTGATGAAATAATTGCCCGATCATTTTTGTTGAAACGAAATCTGCAATTCCACCGTCTTGCTCTCCACATAAACGAAAAATGCATCCTCATCTACACACACAGAATGCCATGGGTACGCCACATGTCTCTTACAACACCGTTTCTTCCTCCATTGGTCTAACTGAGGTGTCCAGCATGCCAGGAGGTCATCGCCGCTCTCGAAGAATGCCATGCAAAGGGTTTCATGCACAAAGCTGCAGGCGCCTGCAACGATGCAAAAGACTTGGTAGACAAGTGTCTGCGACAGCAGCGCTCCAAAGTACAAGACGATAACAGGGCCGCTGCGAGGGCAAAGCGGGATAGGATCAAGGAAGAACAGCGGGCGCTTGGTCTCTAAGAGATACTTGTGTGCGCACCAGAATTCTCTCCATTTCACCGCATTCTCGACTCATTCCTACGTTCCAATACCTTTTATCTTGTTATCTTGTACAATATCACCATCTAGTATCATTCATGACCGGCGTTGGGGAATAAGACGGGCATCCGGGAGATAGGCGCTACGTCTTGTCAATGTACATATATATTCGCATGGAGCGCAACGCAAGACAGCCGATGGACCCAGGACGCTGCTTGAAAGAAAGAAAGCCTTGATATGGGACTGTCAAACGGCTGAGGTTATTATCAGCTACATATCCACCAATACAAAAATACGCAGAAATTCTCTCCGTCTTCAATTAAGCCTTGCGCAGGGCAGTGCCAAAGGTGAAGAGACCGTAGGCGGACAGGATGCTGAGGAAAATGGGCACAGGTTTCCTCAAGCGGATCGCCCGAGGGAAGGCTGAAGCTCCAAGAACAACCGAGGCGAGCAGACTCAACTCTACACCATAAGGCTGACCGTTGGCAATGCGATATCCGCCGAGACCGTCTAGGAGGAGACATAGATTGGTTAACACGCCAGTGCTGGGGTCGGCGCTGGAATTGATGGACTACATACACAAGAGACCAACGAGACCGCCGGCGGCAATTGAGGGAACAGAGCCCGTCTTAGCATAGCCAATTGCGCCGCCGCCGGCTGTGAGAGCCGCGAGGACAAAGGACGCATTTGACAGCGCGGAAGACGTCGTCTTGGACTGGCGCAAAAGAGGGAGTGTCAGCTTGCCAAGTTCGCGACACGCATTGCGCACGATTGACGTACCATGATGGATCGCGTTGTATTGAGAAGCTACGGGTTGTATGTATGAGTATCTTGATGAGATTCAAGCCTCGCAGATCAGCTTTTATATGCCGGATGGAGAAGCTGGCGGCCTTTTAAGTCCCGAATCCAATCGGGGCTCGGAGTCGAATGAGGCCGCAAACCAACTGACGTGATCCAAGTGATGGCAAGTGGGTCGCCAGGCGCCCCCCAGATTTGCGAGCCAATCACAGCTCGCCGACCTGCTTGGAGCTTTCGTGGCCGTAATTGTACCAAAGTACCTAACAGGTATTGAAGCTACGACTTCACTAAGTGCTTCCCAGCAAGTTGAAGATCGATATCATCACGAACCTCGTTTCCTCTCCAGACGAACGTCCAACATCGCCCGCCATGCCCGCCAAGAAGAACGCAGCCCAGCCGGCCCCCTCAGCCGCTGCGACCAGCCAATCCAGCACCACGGCGGCGGGCTCTGTCCCAGCGCCTGTGGGAGCAGCGCCAATCTCGACGCCCGTTTCCGCGCCGGCAGCCAAGAGCGCCCCGGCCAACTGGGACAAGGTGCTGCAGAACATCTACAATCACTACATGAACGAGACGCCGCAGCGGACCAAGCTCATCGACGTCTTCCTCGTCTTCATCGCTGTTGTGGGCGCATTGCAATTCCTCTACTGCATCCTCGCTGGCAACTACGTGCGTCCCCCAGCAAACCGCGGATGCTTGCAAGCATTGGGCACATTCACATTGCTAATCAACGTCGCAGCCGTTCAATGCTTTCCTTTCAGGTTTTGGAGCCACCGTTGGCCAATTTGTTTTGACGAGTTCGTAACTTTGCTGCTTCTCCGTGTTGATTACAATGTTTCTAACCGGAGCTGTAGTTTCGCTGCGTATACAGACGGCTGCCGCGAACAAGAGCGACTTCCCAGAGGTATCACCTGAACGGTACGATTCCCACAACCAACCAAGCTAGACATATACGTCGACATGTGTATATGGGTGTATCGAACTCGTCATACTAACTTGCGGCCGCAGAGCATTTGCCGACTACGTTGTTTGCAGCCTGATTCTACATTTCTTCTGCGTCAACTTCATCAACTAAACGGCGATCATGCAGAGAATGCGCGGTGGAATGGCGGTTTTGATAAACTACATGTTGTGAGCCGTAAAATATACATGGTAGTTTCCCCAATCATACCTACTATTCATGGAGGAGGGGAGGCTTATACGGGAAAAGTAACTTGGTCCTAGCCAAACAAATAGGGAATCGTTTTTATTACCAGAGCTATATCAAGACGAGATCTGACTTTTTATCATGCTCCACCATCATCTACCGCATCTTCTTTGTGCTCGGCTTTTGGTGGACCGCCGGCGCCTTTGGGGGGCGGTGGTAGACCTGTACCCTTGCTTTTAGGTGCATTATCCAGCGCCAAGCTCTTCTGCTCTTCTTCCTTGAGATAGTCATCCATGAAATTGTTGGGCGCGTGGCGTTCTTTCTTCTTTCCACCTCGCGGTGTCCCACCTCGTGGAGGCGCACTCGCTGGCGCCGCACTGACTATTTGCGCGGGAACCAAAAAGTCGCCGCCTGTTGGGGGCGGTGGAGGGCTGGACTGTGTCGCGATGAGTTCGCCTCCGCTCTTCTCGTTAAACTCGCCATCGAACATTGTCTCGCCAGGGGCATTGACAGGTTCGCTCAACGGAGCTGGCAGCCGGTGCAGCGCTCCGTAGCCCAGAGTACATCCCAGAGCCCCATCTCCGCCCCAATTTCGACTAGGCTGTATTGTGACCTCGCGCGATACGTCGTACTCGTTGTTGTAGACGTATAACCGCAGAGGTCGTCCAATGAAGTCTTCCACGAGCTCACCGAGAGCACTTTCACCGTGTAGAGCACCTTCTGGGCTGCCGAGAATGTAGTCGCTATACGGCAGTAGTCCAGCAAGATCGGCGGGCGAATTAGCCGGGACGTCAAGGACATGCCAGATATTAGCTGCAAGCGAGATGGGCGCGAACTGGAGGGAGAGCCCAAGAGCTGCGGTATCCACGGGCACGGGAATGTGCATTTCCCTTATTCGTTGGCCCTATGCGACGTCAGATTTCGCCGTCCCCTCCTCATGCGGCTCGTAGTATATGATGCTCACCTTTGCGCTCCATAATCCAAACGTCACTGTTCCGCCGGCGCAGTTCTGAACCTCCTGCGCAAACAAGCTCGCGTCGGGGTTGTCCTGCCACTAGTCTCAGCACCTCATCGCCTGCTAATCGCACCGGGCATTGGCATATACAATTGGCCTTCCATTAATTCCAACAATGTAATCAAACCAGGGCTCAATTGGTAGATCGAGGTTCGTGTTTCGTAGCACCTGGAAGCCAAACGAGTCGCGATCGTGTTGACGTTGCGGGGCATCGCCATCCAGGCGGGACATGAACCGGTTGAGAGCGTTGAACATGGTCACTGAGACTGTTGCCCCGCTTATGTGCGAGGCTTAAATCTGGGTGTTTTAGAGTTATGAAGCTGTATTATCGCTCTATCGGAGGAATGGCGTCGCTTTGTGAGTTTGATGCTGCCAAGTTAGTTCTTGATAAGAGAAGAGTGACGTCTGGCCTCACTCAAAGAGAGCTTGCCGCAAGCTGTCCCTTGAGGCGTCAGCCTTGCATAAATGCCAAGGCGCTAGAGGATCGAACGCGAAACAAAAGTGGATCCGATTGCAGCTGATTTCTCAGCCTTGTCCTGAAATTCATCTGCCGTCGTACATGGGATATTCTTCTCCGATCAACAACACCCAGAAATCGACATATGACGTGCTGATATCTGTAATTCTCCGCCAAAGGTTATTTCATATCGCATCGGAAGCTAGGACAGTTCATGAATCTCGTCCCTTTTTAAAGCAGCCTGCTTTGTTCACTCACATTTCCAAACACTTCATCAACGACTTCTTATTGACGTGAACGAGGCTGCATCTCCCGCTTCGACTGCCCGTTCGCCTCGTCACGGCTTATTCAAAGCCATCATTCTAAGATGTCTGCGGATGAAAACGTGCCCGCGGATGCAATAGAGCAACAACTTGCGCGGGATATGCTCGGTCCTTACGTGGATGCACCAACCGCCCAACTTCTCTTGCCGCAGGCCCGTCAGATGCCCCAGGTTGCGTGGCAGATCATTAGAAACGCCCTGGAGCAGCATCCGCAGGCAAGAGTTGATTTTCAATACCTAACCAAGTTATTAGCGACCGAGGGCCAAGTAGCCAATGGTATCAATACGGATCGCCTCGATACTAGTGCAGTCACGGAGCCCTCCAACTTTTCACTAAAGCCTGCCGAAAGGCTTCCATTGACGGATGAATGCCATCACTATACAGGCAGACACGAAGTCCCCTGGGATATTCAGAAGTTGGTTTCCTGTTGTGCGGAGTCGTTTTTCCTCAAAGTGCTAATCGAACCTGCAGATACTTCAGCCAACGGTACTCAATCTTCGCGAGCTATGATTATGGAATTCACATGACCGATGATGCTTGGTTTGGCGTTACCCCGGAGCCTGTAGCAACGTAAGTTAAGATGTTAAATGTTTTTCTGTGCCTCTATTGTTGCTTTGTACCGCCACTGACATCCATCCCAGCCAAATTGCGTACGAGCTCTCTGAGGATCATTACGACCCAGAAAAGACCATTCTCATCGATGCGTTCAGCGGTGCCGGAGGCAATACCATTGCGTTTGCTCTGTCAGAGCGATGGAGTCGCATAATTGCTATTGAACGCGATCCTGCAACTCTTGCGTGTGCCCAGCACAATGCCGAGATCTACGGCGTTGAACCAGATTCAGTAACTTGGATTCTCGGTGACAGCTTTGAGTATCTTGATCAGCTGGTTAATAACCCTGAAAAGCTACATCCAGATCTCAGGGTTGATTTACAGACCACGATGGTGTTTGCCAGCCCTCCTTGGGGAGGCCCTGGGTATAGAACCGATGAGATATTCGACCTGAGCACTATGCAGCCATACAGCCTAAATCAGCTGCACGAAGCTTATAAGAGAATGGATCATGTGCTATTCCTTCCGAGGACGAGCGACATTCGTCAAATTGCGAAACTCGCGCCCGAGGGGGAAAAGCTCGAGGTTATCCAATACTGCGCAGAAGGGGCCAGCAAGGCCATGGGCGTCTATATCCCGGCAGAGAAACCGCCAGCATCTAGTGACTGACCTCTCGTCTTTTCCTTTGTTCTATGATTAATGAGCGTATTCAGTAATGAGGCGAGAGACTTGCAATCTATACCCAGTGTATGAGTTGGCGTGCAGCATCGTGTTGGAGCGGGCTCATTTGCAACTTGTATTTTCCAAATCACAGAAGATTTATGTTATTTCTCAAGTTTATCATAGTTTATAATGATGTATAGATTGACTAAAGATATTTCCGATGAGAGAACTATGCGTTCCCATTTAGGTAGTGGTGTTTGCACATTATATCGGGAGGCAATAGGTCTTCTCCAGGGCACATGGATGAGCAGCTGCAATCGGTGTCTGGATTGAAGCTCGAAAATACGTCTTTATATACTATTTATAAACATTTACATTGACTTTCTTAGATGAATTAACCATGAGCTTATTTCGAAACTAAACGCAGCCAGTAATATTAGTACATAATGTACAGTCTATGTATAAACCCTTTCGCACTGTATGTGATGGGATTTTCCACTTCTCTTCCAACCAGAGTGACCCGCTCAAGTCAGGACTGTATTCAGTTTCTTTCCCTGAGCGTGCGGTCATACCGCCTGATTTCTTTTTATATATATAGAAAAAGACATCTTAATCATGGCCAAGGATAAAAAGAAAAATAACGAATCGAAAAAGGCGAAAAAGGTGAGAAACGTCGAGTGGGAAAATCTCAACCCAGAACTACCCCTCCAAATTTCACCAAAAAGAAAATAACCAAGTATTGACCGAACCGCTTATGTAGGCCGAGAAGGCAGCCAAGCAGGCCAGCAAGGGTGAGAAAAAGGTCAAGAACAAGACTGCCAAGCTGGAAGGTAGCGATGCCGAGGATGTCGACTTGGATGAGGTGCTCGAAGAGTATCGCCGCCAGCAGGAGCAGTTTCTGAAGATCACCGAGACGGTTGTCGAAGGGCCTCCGAAGCCTCGAGCGGCATCAACCATCATGGCCTCCCCTCATGAGAGCAACAGCCTGCTCTTGTTTGGAGGAGAGTATTTCAACGGGTCGATTGCGCAGTTCTACAATGACCTGCACGTATACAACATCAACCGTGATGAGTGGCGCTGTGTGACTTCCCCCAACGCACCACTGCCGCGATCTGGTCATGCCTGGACCAGAGCCTCGAATCCAAACTATGTGTATCTTTTCGGAGGAGAGTTTTCATCGCCAAAGCAGGGCACTTTCCACCATTATTCCGACTTCTGGAGGCTGGAGCCTGCGACAAGGGAATGGACCAAGATCGAGGTCAAGGGCAAGGATAAGAGTCCGCCAGCGCGAAGTGGCCACCGGATGACTTATTGGAAGCAGTACATTATCTTGTTTGGCGGTTTCCAGGACACATCAAACCAGACCAAGTATCTGGCTGACTTGTGGATATTCGACACTGTCAATTATGTCTGGCATTGCCCCGTTCTTCCACCCGCCCAGCTCAAGCCCGACGCCCGTTCTTCCTTTACCTTCCTGCCCTCTGAGCAAGGAGCTTCTCTTTTTGGAGGTTACTCGAGGGTCAAGGCCACAGTGCAGCTGAAGAAGCAGAAAAAGGGCAATCAGCCGCAAGGCCAAAAGAACGTCCTCATTCCCAAGGTCCACGAAGATTGCTTCTTCCTTAGGATGTCTCTCCCCCCAACCGACGCGAATGCGAATGCACCACCTGCTGTTAGATGGGAAAAGCGAAAGAAGCCAGCAAACGCACCCAGCCCTGTTCGTGCTGGCGCTACAATGGCATATCACAAGGGCCGTGGCATCCTTTTTGGCGGCGTTCACGACGTTGAGCAAAGCGAAGAGGGCATGGACAGCGAGTTTTTCAACCAGCTCTTCGCGTGGAATATCGAGAGAAACAGATTCATGCCCCTTGTTTCACGTAAGCCACGCCAACAGAAGAAGAATGCACCAGAGCAGCGAGTTGGCAGACGTGGCCGTGCCCAGGCAAACGAGGAGGAGCTCCTAAAACAGCTGGCAGCACTGCAAGCTGGAACCTCGTTGGAGGACATTGACGATATCGAGCTTGACAAGATGCTCGGTGAACCTGAAGAGGAGGAAAAGCCTACTAGGGAGATGCCTGTGTCCATGGAGCCGCCGCACATGCGCTTCAACGCCCAGCTGACGGTTCAAAACGACGTGCTCTTCATTTACGGTGGTACTTATGAAAAGGGGGACCGGGAGTTTACATTCGACGATCTTTATGCCATCGATCTAGTGAAACTGGGTGGATACAAGGAGATCTTTAACAAGCCCGTCGAAGACTGGATTGTAAGTCTTGGGTCATTAACTGCCGTTGTGTGTGAAGATTATGAGCTAACCGAGATATTTCAGGAGTCTGAGGATGAGGATGAGGACGACGAGGACGAGGAAGACGAAGATGAAGAGGAGGATGAAGATGATGAAGACGATCAGGATGAACCAGAGCAGCAGATCCGCTCAGAGAGCAAGCGCAAGAAGAAGCAAGACGAAGTATCCGAGGTGTCATCCGAGGCACCTACGCCGTCAATTACGTCGGAAGAAGAAGAAACCGAAACAACCGCCACATCGGTCGACGATGGCCTACCACATCCAAGAGTAAGCTTTTTTTATTCATTGCAGTCCCTGTTCCAAGTCCCCCTTTTCCCCCCATGAAAATATCTAATCTCTAACGATTTCAACCCACTCTAGCCCTTCGAGTCTCGCCGCGAATTCTTCGTCCGCACTTCCGCAGAGTGGCAAGAGATCCTCATGACCAACCTCCGCTGGAAGAACATCCAGCCGGAGACGCTCGCCGTCAAGGAGATCAAGGCCAAGGCGTTTGAGCTCAGCGAGGAGAAGTGGTGGGACTGCCGCGAGGAAATCACGGCGTTGGAGGAGGAGCAGGAGGCGGCGGGCATTCAAGAGGTGGTCAGTCTTGCAGAGAGGGGAGACGGCGGTGCTGTTGGGGGTGCAAGGAGGAGGTGAAGAGGGGAATAAAGCGTTTTTGTTACAGCATTTGGCGGTTGGTTTGGCTTGGATCGAGGCTAGTGCATGTACATGTATGTAGCGTGTTGAGCTATTTCAGCTTGGATATCCCCCTTTCCCATCATCTATCGCTCATTCATCTCAATGACTCCTATGGGATCCCAGTCATCCCATATGTACGCCAACCAACAACGACTCACTAAAGAAAAAAAGGAACAAACTCGACACCACCTTCATCAACGCCCTCACTCCCCTCCCCCTCCCTTTCCTTCTTCTTTATGTAAATCCGCCTCAACAACCCCCTCCGCAGACCAAACTGGCGTCTTCCCCCTCACCCATAACACCATTCCCGCAATCCATCCAACTAGTCAGTTGGGCGACGCAGCCATGGGAGGATACTGCTTCCCGTTCTTCTCGACTTTGGGCTCACAAGTACACCACTCCTTCTCATCGACCGAGTCCAGCACACCGGGGATGTGACTTCCGCAGCCCCACCAGGTTGCCTTGTCTAAAGCGAACAAGCACGTAAGCATAAATTCCCTATTCAATGTCTCTCTCTGAGAAAAAATGCAGTATCTTTGGTATAAGTGAGGGGAGTAGTGAGTGAGTGAGGGATGCTTACGGCAGTTGTTGCAAGTGGCACTTCGACACATGATGTCCTTTTTATATCTTGATCTGATGCAGATAAAAGAAAAAGGGTATGAGCAAAATAAGATGTTCTAGTTTACAAATGCTGTATGAAGCTGTTTAAATTTGTTGAGTGCTGAAAAAGAGGACGAAGAGAGGCCTTGATAAAGAACAAAACGACAAACGTAGAGGCGGCAAAAAAAAGCCCGCGGTGGCCGAGCGGATCGCCCGCCGGAAAGCTGACCAAATCGGCGAGCCCCGCCCGGGCAAGATACAAAGGTACAAGCGATTTGGTAAGCCAGAACGGCGACCATTTCTGCAGACATCGCCGTCTTCCTTTTCAATGTCGGGCTTTCTTGATTACTATTCATGATTCTTCTCCAAGGATTCCTTGATATCTTTACTTGAGCCTTCTCGAAGAATTTGTGAGGTGGCAAGTCCGATTCGTAATTAACAGCAATTACTCAATTTCCTCCGAATTACCATAACGAGTCATCATCCCCCCCTTCCGACTCAATGAGTCTCTGATATCGCTACCAACATGAGCATTAAACTCTTCCTCCTCATTCAGTTTCCCCAGAACACCAAAAAGTCCAGTCCAAGGGCGTTCGTTTTCTCCGTTCCAACAAGCCCTCGACGCCATTGCACTAATATCATTACCAATACCAATACCAACACCACTAAATGCTAATCCCAAGCTTATATAGCTACTCAAGAGGTTAGGAAGCCGCCTCCGTCGCCATCTGCTTCTTGGCAACTTCGCTTTCCACAATGGACCGGATGAGATTAACGGCCAGTTCTTGGCCTTGTTTGATCACGGCTTCAGAGCTATCCGCCGGCACGTGGAAGAAAATCACCTTCCTCTCCTTGTCCTGCTTGTAACAGGTTGCCAAGCTTGAATAGTAGATGAAGTCGCAGAGATAACGGCCAGCATCGTCCGAGATTCGGAGCTCCATGTCATTCTGCGTAATGTCATGTCAGTAATGATGACAACGTTCAAAGGCCAGGGCATCAATATTCATATCCTTACCGAGCTGTGCTGCTGCCATCTCTGCCAGATGTCCTGTATGTTCAAGTCCGTCTTCAACACATCCGGGAGATCATGCCAGATCCACTCTTCGTCCCGTTTCCCATCGAGCTCGTCAAGGTGCTTCCCGTCAACGTCGGGAGACTTGTACCCCGTACGATGCCCTCGACTCTCGATCTGGTACATGAGCCGCGGCCCTGCCATGCCAATGTGAATGACAACATCAATCTTGCGGCCCAAGTACGTCTCTTCCCACAGGTTCGGGACAAGCTCCCTCACCACCTTGTAGTTGACTCGGATGGGGTCGGGATGCACCAGAATGCGCACAGGCGGGATGTCGACGGCATTTCGAGAGTTTGGGTCCTTGGCCCTCAGTGGTGGGAGGTATTCTGGGAGGGCTCTTGCAATTTCCCACGACGGGTTGATCGGATATTCTGACCGGAAAGGCTGGAGACATGATTAGTATATATTGTGCTGGGCGTTGATGGGGAGATGCGGCGGCATGAGACGCACCTGAAATCCAGTGACGAGCACTGTCAGCTCTTCTTGAACCTGAGACCCCATGGAGCGAAAAAAAAAATTGTATCCAAAATTGTTATATTCTGTTTACGAGATGATGTAGAAGATTGATAGTGTAAGAAGAGCTCTGGTGCCCAAGCTCTAGATGGATCAGGCAATGGTCGAGGTAAGCAGGCGAGAGATGTCACTCTGGAGGGTGTACTTGCACATACCTGGATATAACCTGATCGTTAGCAGACAAGCCACGAACGCCAGCACTAGAGGCGCCCCAAGGTAACTTTATACCCGATCTCGAGGTACACAAAATGTTCCGTGCGCAGCAGCGGCTTAGTACCAACTTGAGCCGGGCACTTTAAGACAAACAAACGGCAATGTCACGCATCATCTCATGTCGTGCCGACGATTGGTGGATATAGTGACCAGCAGCAAACAAACAAAAAGTAGCCGTCCGTTGTAAAGCCGAATCCTTCCAGCGGTGCGTGCGGGGGAATTGAATTGACGTGGATTCAGCTTCTCCATGGGACCAGAGCTTTAGCCCAGTTTGAGCTAGCAGCGCCATTGAAGAACCTGGAAGCTATGGGCCTCGTGCATTTTACTGTATGTGGTTCTTTAGTAGGTTCTTTAGCACGCCCAATGCAATTTAGTTTTCTTGATCGATTGACACCTGGGAATGGCTGTCCACTGAAGGAGCTGTGATTCGTGTTAGTATCCGTCCCCGTTGGATATTACTATACGTCCCAGGTACCCAGTAATACCAAGGGATGTACCTAAGCTTCAATCTGTGGTACATGAAGGTGTTTTCCATGTACTTTGATAGACAGCGGCGGGGTTCGCGGGGTAACATCCGCATCCAGATCAATCTCTTCTGGCCATTGGATGCACAGTACTTGTTCTGCCGCGTTGACTGGCCGAGGCTCCAAGTACTGTACATGCCAAGTAAGGTACGTACTCGCAAAACACGCAAGTCGTGTGCTTGTCACGTTGATGACGTGTGATTGTTGCCATAAGCACGAGCTCGGTAAGCTGTCGGAAGGTGCATTCTCGCAATGTGGTTGCCAACTCAACTACATTAGATTGATGCGCATATCCTGACCTCACGTGAGCGAGACATGCTGCCTCGGTTTCTCTCACTCGCATCACTTCAATGTCCTTCATATTCCCGTACTGTATATTCGCACTGCCTACTAGGTAGTCACCAAAAGAACCCGAAGCTACACTACCAGCTACATCGCCAACCAACAAATCAACCAGCCCGATGATGGGCTGACCAAAAGGACTGTGCATTGATCCCTCGGCTGTTCATCTCTTACCTCGTCTATCTTCCGGGGAAAAGGGAGAGAGCCAAAGTGCAGAGCACGCCGAATCTCGGGATGCGATGCCTTGCAGCTCAATGAATGCCTCCCGCATATAGCATCAACTTCAAACTCAAGCGACCCTCCACAATTCTCATTCTCGCATTAGCGTGTGTGATTAGTTGTGTTTGTTGGCCGCCGCTCTGCTATACCAAGCTGGCAGGGCGTCCTGCATGTGGTGACGAAAAGAGGCACATCACATCTCCTAATGCAGAAGCGTGTAAGGGAACTTTGATATGCCCATCCACTTCAGTATTCCCACTTACAAATTTTGCCGTCTTCGGATAAACAGACAGTTGAACATGCATGTTATCATTGTGGGAGCTGGCATTGCGGGTCTCTCGCTTGCCATTGCCCTTGGCCAGTCTCGTCACCAAGTCACAATTCTTGATGCTGCTCCTGAGCTTGCCGAGCTGGGTGCGGGCGTTCAGATGACACCGCAAGCAATCAGATATCTCTTCAAGTGGGGTCTCAAAGATGACCTACTCGCCGAGTCGATTATCCCCGACAACTTGCATGTGTGGGATGGACAAGCCGGCAATCTGCTGGGGAGTGTCCGAATCAAGGAAATGGAGGCTCAATATGGCGCCCCGTACATTGTCGTTCATCGGGCCGTTTTGCGTGCCATATTACATCGCCACGCTACCCAAGCTGGGGCACGATTGCTGCTCAGCAGTGATGTCGTTGAGTACGATTTTGCCAACGGTGCTGTGCAGCTACGAAATGGCAAAAGGCTAACGGCCGATCTGGTCGTCGCTGCTGATGGTGCGTATTGCATAGAATCAACTTCCAGGTGCAATAAACTGCGCGCTATATTAACCACTCCATCGTTTACAGGGATCAATTCTCTTGCTCGATCCCAGGTGCTAGGATCCCGAGATCCTGGAAGCCTGCCGACTGGATGGGCCGCTTTTCGCATGACGGCGGAAGTCTCCAAGCTCAAGGCGGATTCGGTAACTTCGAGTCTAATAGATCTTCAATCTCGCAACTCCAATTGGTGGATCGCTCCACACATATCGTGCATGACATACTTGATCAAAGATACCACAATGCTCAATATAGTATTATCTCATAGAGACAATATCAACACCAAAGAATTCACCACGGGAGAATACAACAAGACAGTTCGGAGCATATTCAAAGACTTTGAGCCTCGGTGAGTGCATACGTTCGAACAGCCCTAACCCGACATAATCCAAATTGTTTCTAATGTGATATGCAGTGTTCAGCGCATATTCGACCTTTCTGAGTCAAAAATTGTCAACTATCCCGTGTATGCTGTGCCGCCGCTACCCTCCTGGAGTCACGAATCAGGTCGATTCATACTCATAGGCGACGCTGCCCATGCAATGGCCTTTTACATGTCCATGGGCGTAAGTATAGCTGTTGAAGATGCCGTCGCACTCGCAACGGTGCTAGATTTAGCTTGTCCTTCTGAAACCAGCTCCGACGAACCAAGTGTGGTGGTTGACCATAAATTAAAGCATGCACTGGATGTATTTGAAATCATGCGCAAGCCAAGGGTCGAAGCTGTGCAAGAAGCCAGTCTACATGGGGGTGACTCATCACATGCCTCGCATGAAGCAGAGCGCAGTGTTCTCTACGAAGCCCTTGCTCATTCTCACGAGGGGGAAATCTGGCCTTTGGAAAGCGACGCCGTTAGAGGCGAATATGTTCGGAAATGTAGGCAAACGGGCCAAAGACTCGGTCCAGGTGGTATCACTGATAAGGGGACAAGAGACTGGTGCTATGACTATGACGCTATTGGGGCTATCGAAGATTATTACAAGTCCTCAGCCGCAGAGCACATATTCGAGGCAGCAAGAGCATCTTGACGCCATTCGCTTTTGAGTCGGCTACAGGCCTAGAGATGGAGTTGAGACTCTCCCTGATACATTATAATTTCTCCATGCCCGATAGTTCAGGGCGCAAAAGGCAACTCCGACGAGCTCACGACTACGATCAAGTCTTTAAACTATCAGAAGAATTTGTCCGCCACAGCCTCGCGAATTAAACTCTCTGCGGACATTATTTGGCGATGGATCTAACCGGCTGAGGAAGCCCCGCCAGTGCGGAATTGCCACGTGGGGGTTTTAATCATGGATCTAACTTCGACCTTGGAAGATCCCGCTTTTGCAAACGATATATATATAAGAACTCATCATCAGCGTTCAGAGTTGATCGAAACCGCATCGCCTATCGACGATTCAACATTTCGATTTACGAGTCTCTTGTGCGACATCATTCTCTTCTTCAATCGGTTGACATCAGAATTTCCGAGAATAGCGGCAGGATGGGTTCACAACCAGATTACAGCCTCCCCACGCAGGAGATCTCATTTTCGGGATTCCTGTTTGACATGGATGGAACCATTATCGACTCTACCCCGGCTGTTGTCAAGCACTGGCATAAGTAACTATCCCCCTCCATCTCCCATGGCAAGCCATCCTACGCCGAAGATAGACTTTTGCTAATAAGGGGGGGAAGTGTCGGTGAAGAAATTGGCGTTGCTCCCGAGGTCATCTTGGAGACTTCTCATGGCCGCCGCAGCATAGATATCTTGAGGATCCTTGCTCCCGAAAAGGCCAACTGGCAATGTAAGTTGCATTTGCTTTGCTTGCCCGATTATCTAGTTGCGACTTGTCCTCCTTGATATTACCGCAGATGGCGCAAAGTGGCTGGCTACGCCGACGCCTCCAATCCTGCGGCTGGGAACTCGTCCTGAGGCTGAGGCTTGACTCGCAAAGGATTTCTTTGTATCGTATTTGGATGGGTAGGACAGAACTAATGTGCGTGCTCGTAGATGTGACAAAGATGGAAGCTGAGCTGCCTAAGCTGTACGCCGATGACGTCGTGGAGATCCCCGGCGCCCGCTCTCTGCTCTCCTCCATCATTTCCTATTCCTTTCCCTGGGCCATCGTGACGTCCGGCACCCAGCCCCTGGTCAGAGGCTGGCTCAAACGACTGTCCCTCGGCACACCTGAGCATCTCGTCTCCGCCGAGTCCGTCGAGAACGGCAAACCCGACCCGACATGCTATCTCATCGGCCTGGAGAAGCTCGGGCTGCAAGACAAGGCCGGGGAGGTCCTTGTCCTCGAAGATAGTCCCGCAGGCATCAAGGCCGGCAAGGCGGCGGGGTGCAAAGTCCTTGGCTTGGTAACGAGCCACACTGTGGAACAGGTGGTGGCGGCCGAGCCCGACTGGGTGGTGAAGGATCTCGACAGCGTGAGGGTGGTGAGACAGGAGGACGGCAAGATGACGCTCGAGCTCTCCAACGCGCTGCGCTTTTGATTAGAAACTTGGAGCGGTAGAATCACACACTTTGGGTACTGAAAACAAGGAAGATATTCTAGAGGGCAACTTCGAGTCAGATATTCCATTAGTTTTTTAATTAATATTATAGACACTCTAGCATTCCGGGGAAACGAAAAGCCCTTTGTGAGGGAACGGAGGTCTCGGGGGGCACGTTGCGCGTGTTCACGTCAGCCCTTTTGGCAGCTGAAGAATGAACGGATGTCGATCCCACCGACGTGGAGATGAACAGGTCTCACATCTTGTGCCTGGCCAGGCTTCGCCTCTCCCTAAACCCTCCCAGGTTCCACAATCCGATCGGCAATGTCTTACCTTTGCATCCCTCCTCTTTTTTTCAGTTTTCCCTCCTTCTCGGGCTCATAACATTCTACAGTACACTGTCAAAAACCCTCAGTTTCCTCCTTTTCACGGGTTGTCAAGTCGTGCAAGTGCTCCGTAACGCGAGATAACCCGTAGAGTTGGGAGGAAGAGAGGGGGAGGGGTTGTCTTTCACAGGAATTCATTCTAAACACGAGCCTTTATTTCTCCTTTTAACCAAGGAGCCTGGTGCCTGTATAAGGCGCGCGGTGCTACTACTCTAACTTGTGATGCGTCATACACGCTGCGTAACGGACACGATGAGCTCGTACAGTACGACCGCGCCCGTGTTCGCCTCCCCGCGAATCGGTGAAACAGAGTGAGATATAGCATGAAAGTGATTTGCCTTTTGGTTACGCGCTTGTCGAGGTTGTATACACTTGGCCCATGGAAGCGGAAGATTGCGAGTTGAGGGACAAGCGGGATAAGCCGGCAATTTCACAATTCCTCATCCATAGGATAGGAAAGAGTCTGCGTCACTCGAGGCGATAGAGCACAACGCCCGCAGCATGTGCTTGTACATACAAGTAGTAGTACTCCGGGGAGCGCTTCAGACGGGTCTCGAGCGCCGGTTTGTCATGCGTGTCATGCCATGCGTGCCCCTCTCTTCATGTGTGTCTCAGGAGTCACTTTTTCTCTTGCGTCTCTTCGGGTATGGCAATCTTCTGATGAAGATCCCCCCCCCGGCTCGGCATGATCTCGCATGCTTATTTCGACAAGAAGATGCAAATACAGGGTAAGGGTAATACAATGAGTAGTCCTAGGATAAAAGACAGAAATCGTGGCGACATTGGAACCCTTTCTCCCCCACCCCCCTTGTATGCTCTTTTTTCTTGCGGACCGATCATTCTGTGGACCACGAGTAGCCACGATGGCGTGAGAAAGGGGGAACTACCACACAAGACGACTTTTGGATGCAAAGCTGACTGCGCAAGTGGGACAGGGGGATACCAGGTCCAAGGCTCGAGTGTGAGGCGAGGCTGGTTTGCGCTACTACTTGTATTACAGCAGTGCTGTACAAGTGGTTGTGAGGGTGCGGGTTTTCAATACCTGGCGATTGGATAGGTTGTGATACTCACCCTGTTGTTGAGAGCAAAAGCCCCCATTGCTGGAGAGGGGAGGACAGTCAAACAAGTGCAACCACTGATCCCGTAAGATTCACGGATCTCCGGTGGTACGCATGCAGATCTTGATTTCTTCTCTGTGCGACGAACGGACCACCCAGCAATGTCTCGATATTCCATGCAAGGTCCCGTGCGAGGCGAGCGAGACGAACGCAGGGCCTCCCTCATATCATGCCATCGCCTACCCTGCACTTTCGGCGGAAGAGGCTTGGCCCTCGGATTTTCTGAAAAGCAAACTTGTGCCGAAAATGCCGTGCTTGACGCACTTCACTCGATATCCCGCATGGGGGCAGTAGGTTGCAGCAACTCGCTCTCGCTTCTGGGTCACGTCTCATTCACAGGCTTACGCTCAAGGTTCGTGCAGTTGCCGCCCGTGCGGTGGTTGGCTCTCGTAGCCCGCGCTTGCATCGCAACACTTTTGCCGGAGCCCACTTGTAGACGGCGAAGGGCCACTGTTGATATGCTTTTTGACGCCCTCCGCTGCGGCACCACTACGCATCTGCACGAGTACCTCGAGGCTGATGCGAAATACTGCTCGACGCTGAAGTAGATTCCGAAAGCGTGACACGGGTTTCCTGGCCGCAGATGGCCGTCCAACAGACCTCGGAGGCTTTCCCCCGCCCCTACCAGGTATAGAAGGGCAATCTGACTTGTTAAGAGAGTTTCGCCTTGGAGTGCCAAAAGCAAGAGAAGGCGCGAAAAGGGGGGAGGGGTTCTTGTCGTGAGGCTGGAAATTTATCGTATAACTGCACGCCCTTGCTTGTTGAGGAGAAGACTGCTCCAGTAGGACGGTCAATCGGTCAATTCGAGTGTACCCGGCGTCCAACTACGTAGAGTCGCCGAGTCAAACTGGCTCTGGTGCCACCGTACTCGTACGTGGTAATATCCCCACACTCAGGAGATCCCGGGTCTACTTTGGCGGACAAGGGGGGTTGCTGGGTGCTTGTCCAGTGCTGCAGTATCGGGGAACCAACCAAGCCAGAAGAGGCTCAGGGCAATATAAAGTACACGTGGGATGTGCCAATGGAACCGTGTGCATCAACCCCAAGCTAAAGCGGTTGGGCGGGCACAGCCGCTTCAGCGTATTTGGCCAAACTCGTAGACTTTTGCTCCCCCCCTATACGAAATAAGTGCCGTTTGATTGCCATTATGCGCCGCCCAATGCCATTGCTGCACGCGGGGAGCATGTATGAGCCCAGCCATGTGCCCAAATAGAGCGTGTCCATGTCCGCTGCGCGGCGGGTGCAATTTCGAGCTCCCTAAAAGAGACGCAGCTGAGATCGAAGCAAGACATGGCTCCGAGATTCGGCGTGGGCTAGAACGACAGGATGCAGAGCATTTCTCGTCTCCTTGCGCCATCAATCGCGCTATGGTCTCTTGCCATGTGGGAGCCTATTAAAAAAATATTCTCGGGACGCCGTCTGACTGGCCAAGATGCGAGACTGTAGCTCCTCGGCTAGCCGGTTCTGAGGGCGTCCCCCATGCTCCTTGCCTGGGAAAATGTACTCTCTGTCCAGAATCATACATATCTTGAAAGATTTCCAGCAAGAGGCTTGAAGCAAAGCGACCGAAATGTTTGCGCCACCGCCCACTTGAGCATTGAACCCCTGAGCGGCCTGGGAAGAGCTAGGCAATTGCAGCATATTATTGGCGTCTGCCCAGGCGTAAATCTCCGGGAGGCTTGCAAACTCGCAGCTGAGGGCAGATTCGAGAACCAAGATGCAGATGCGGCATGCATTCCTGTTGCGGCCATGGTGATGGTGATGATTTCGCTCTTAATGCTGATAGTAACTCTTTCTTTTGCGACGGTGGTTTGTGTTAGGGAGAATAGCTGTGCGGCGTACTCCGTAAGACTCGTACAATCTTCAGGACTAGGTAATGCGTTATCCGCTACCCACGAACGCTTGTCATCTCCGAGCGGCATCCGCCGGAACACCGCGCGTACGGTAGGTGAGCAAGCACGGGGTTTGTTGCTTTGCCTGGTCTCCGAGTTTAGAAAGAAAAAGACAAAAAAAACAAGCACGAGGGTCGTACCGCCGCGAGGCTTGTCAGTCCGACTCCTCCTACCTGTGCTCAAGCCCAAGCCTTGTGGTTGAAAGTGGCAGCGTCTGCTACGAGTACACTCTGGTTGCTCAACATGGCAATGAGCGACGCTCGCAAGTCTCGATCGAGTCCTCAGCAGACAGGGATCGCGGTTCCATCGCACGTGGCCGCCCGGACCACCAAGGCTACACTAATCTCCCCGTCCCTGGCCGCGGGGACTTGAGTTGGCTTTTGTCTGTTCACGCCCTCTGCAGTCTCCAAACGACACGCCCCCTTCCTTGCCTTTGGCTTGGCTCCCTGCCCGCTTGCTGAACTCTAGAACCTGCGTGCGCTGCCTCCGCGCGGCTCCATCCTGGTAGATGGGAGAGAACAAGATCCAGATCCATACGATAGCCCAGCGACAAGCGTGGCCGTTGATATCCTTTAGCAAAGGCTGGGACCTGCAGTTCGCCTTTTCCTGAGCTGGCAGCAGCGGGGAGAAAGCCCAAGTGACCTGCACGGCATTTGTGTCGGATATGGCCAAAGTAAGGACGCAATGTACGAGTACCTGTGCAACTTCTTCTTATGGTCCTGCCGTGCCGTTCTGATGCCCCGCATCGCCCTCCCACTCACGGGCCGTGAGAGTGGGCGAGTGCGAGCCGAGATGCTTCGTTTGCGGTATCTCGCTGGTATGATGGGCAATTCCTTGGCAGCGCTTCGAGCTGTGATGTGAACCGCAAAAGGACGCCGTGGTATCTGCGCAAGGTTGGATTACGTCGTCCCTTTCGGGCCACCTGCGTTCTCACGCCACTTGGTGCTGGCGGCGGGGATGCTACTTGCACGGCTGTTCATCACCCTCCCCGCCCATCTTCACCAGAAGAGCCCAGCCCATTCTGCGGTTGCACTTACTCGTACGCTGCCCCATACCATCTTGATGTGTCTAGTTCCTCCGAGAGCACCATGCAGATGTGGAACGAAGAACACCGTGATCAGTTTGCAGCTCTACACCTGCTCACATGACAACATCGACTCACCAAATCGCCTGGCGTCTCGATCAATCCCCCCGGCTGCCTTTGCTTTTCCAGCGAGGGGTACGGAGTAGACGTCGCCTCTCTCCGACTTGCTTCCTTTTTTTTGCTGTTAGTCAACAGATCTATACGGTGAAAAGCTCAACCGCTTTTCCGCTTCTATTTCAAGCCATCTCGCCACCCAGCGGAAATCTAGATAGCTAGACAAGCCTCCCGTGAGCAGCGACCACATCAGATCCACAGTGCTGGCAGGAGAGCTCTCCAATGCTTTAGCTACATCCTCTCAAACACGCCGTTGTCTCGCGTTGGGGACAATGCTCGTTCATTTTCTCCTCTGCTCGCTTTCTTGTGACTAAATTTTTGTTTTCTCCTTTGGTATACCCAATCGGTCGAGTCATTGATAACCTGATGGGAAAAAAAATTAGCAAAAATACTATCCTCGGTAAAA